AAGCTGTAAGACCTTAACATATTCTAACAAAATTTTTTTAACTTAACGTTTTTTAGCCTATTTACTTTATTTTGTCACCTACTCCTTCATTTTTTCTAACTTCCGGTTTATGTCATCATTCCTCATATATTACGGTACCCCTCTCCCTTTACATTATCGTTTTTGTTCGTAATTTGAAGCCGTTTTGACAAGTTTTGCCAAAAGTGTTCAACAATTCCCGCGACACCTGTTTGTCTGTCAATATTTCATTTGAACTCTTGACCCTGCGGCCCGAAACTCTCGTCAAGAGTGAGGACAAATATTGGCTGCAGAAAGTGAAAGTTTCGAACCATTGAACCAAATTGATAAATTGTAAAGAAAAAAGTGGGAAGATTGAGCAGAAAATGCAAAAAAATTGATGTTACAGTAAGAACATTGTTGGAGAAAAAAATGTTTTGCTAGGAAAGTTTTAAGCTCATACCTACTAGATCGTTCAAATAACTATGTGCTCTCTTTCAAAAAATTTTTTTGAGGTTTGGGTCACAGAATTATTTGAACAAAGTGTTAGGTATGTATGAGCGGTGACAGATGGATCAGTTAGGTTTAGCATGAGTAAAGTTTGCGTGGGGAAAGGGGGTGAGGCGTAGAAAAAGATAAAGGTTTATCTGAAAGGGGGAGGGGGGAGAGTAAAAATTTTTTAAATTAAGAAAAAGTTGGTTGTTGCCTTCGGGTAGCTTATTTTACTAAAAACGTTTGTTGATTGAAAGGTATCAAACAGTTTTAGCACCCATCATTATGTTTGTTTAGGCAGTATTAAAGTGGGAATTAATAAAAGTCAAAAGCCAACTTCGCGGTAAATAAAATAATTGGGTATAGCTTTACTGTCATTCTTCTAAAAATTCTATACGTTCATTAAATTGTGAGCTAGTATTAAAAAACTAAAAAAAGTAGCACAAGATGGAGCGTCGCATGAGATTTAAAGGCAGTAGCATGGTTAATGGCTGGAAGAACTGGATCAAGGTAAAATACGGAAGTTGAATAGCTCTATTAATATTGTCGTATTATAAGCTACCTTGGCATGGTTTTATTTACCCATACAGGCAAGGAATACTATGTTAGCTGCAAAATAAATGGCATTTACAAAAGTAATGCCATTTTGAGTACTATCTGCAACTTTTTTTCTCAAATGTATACTTAATGATGCAAATTTTTACTTTTCACCAGTTACTACGCAGTAGAAACGTAAACGGTTTAATCCCATCAAATAACGTATGAAAAGCGTATTAAAAGTTATTGTGGTACAGCAGCTAAAGATTAGGAAAATGTACATATTAGGTAGATTACATTCGGATTAAGTGGGTACATAGGATATATTTACGTAGGCTTAATATGTTAGTTACATAGATCTAAAACTTAAAGGCTTGGCTGTTAAGTTTTTAAACTGATATGGGCTAAGGGGCACAGAATTATTTTAACAACCTAACAATTTTTTAAAAACAGTGTGATATATGTAAAATACAAATTAATAAATCAATGATAAGAAGTTGTATAATAGCGTATGTACTACAACGTATAACGTCATTGCGTATTGTCATGTGCAACATAAATGCCTGCCAATCAACTGCAGATTGTCATGCGGAAGTTTTGGGAATGTTGTCAAGCATATAACCTTATTGTCATAGGCATTACTGAGCAACCATAGCGCTTATTGCAACTATTTTTGCATATAAACTGTGGTTGACGTTGGTACTTTTAGATATTGCTGTATATGTATCTATACTTTGGTGTAAGAGCATAGCTTTATCTTGATCTATGACACAGGTTTTTTAATGTTTTTAAGGTAGACAGAGTTATATTAGTACAATATAAACTTTGTATGTACTTACACCAGCTGTGTACACTCTTATACTATTTATTATATGATCTTACACTAGCTGAACATATTTTATATAAACCTAATTAGCTATGTAAACCCTTATGTTATCTATTACATGATCTTTAACTAACTAAACACTTCTTTTATAACCCCAACCAGCTATGTATACCTTGGCTGTATCATAACCGTTCTCAATATACGTTTGATTATGTATTCACCTGTTGTCAACATACTATTGACTCATATACACGGCTGTGTAATTACTTCCGCTTTTTGACTATATTTTAAATGACATTAATAATAGGAATACATTAGCATAGCCATTAAGTATCCAAGTCTTTGGAAACGTGAATTTTTTCATTTTATGTTCAGGTTATTGTAGGTGTAGGATTAGAGGAATTTATGTCGAATTGTAAAGAATTATGGTATGGTACTGTAGGTTTTTGTTTTATAGGTAGTAAAAGAATAGTGTTTTTGAATTGTAAGCTTGAAAACAAGATTAATATACTACAACCATATATAGGTAACATACTACTACAGCTAACGTATTACGCTTTTGCCTTAAAATTTGTTACAGTAATATCTAGATAAGCATAGTCTTATTATGAAAAGATAAATGAAACGCTTCTCATAAGCAGCAAAAGGCCAAAAATGTTTATAACATAAAATATACTGAACAATTTTCTTTGAGGATTAAGCTGGCCTACAAACTTGGGTTTTCCTGACCTAACGTTATATATATATATTACTAATGTAGTTAAGTTCACCACAAAAATATAACAAAATTTATGGATTATACCGCGATAAAGTTATGCTTAAATACTGATGTTCTGTACAGGCGTAACTGTTCGATACATATATGAGACATCTAACTCAAATAATAAAAAGTCATGTTGAACTTCAGGTTTACGTAAAAAGGAAAGCTAACTAGCATTTGCAACATTTTCTTTTGCAAATTTAGCTTTTTGTTCCTTATTTTTTTTCAAATTTTGTCATTGTTTCTTTGCCTTCTTTCTTATGCAGTAAGTACCTAGACAATTGCCTTTAGCCCCTCCTTTAAAAAATTAAACAGAAGTTTTGAGCTTTTGTTATTAGGGTTTATCTCAATATCACTAGAAGTGTGAAACCGGCTAGGATCAATTTTGTGGTTAGGTTTAGTCCCGAGGCCTAACTTTTAGGCTGAGCTTAGGTTTTGTTCAACTTTTAAGGTCTGGAGCGTTTCAACTTTCGCTCAGGGTGACCTAGCCCAATGGTAGGACTGATTTATGTTTACATGACTCGCTTCTTCCTCTTATATATCTCTATTATTTTACTTCTTATCACTATGTATGTTTCATACTGGCGATATCTAAAAATTCAAATTATGTTTTAAATTTTCGAAATCTTATATTTTTTAAAATTTACAGTTTCATTAGGTTCAAACCTGTGTCATTTAGATTTTCTTATTAACCTCACTGACCCATCTTTCCCACTCTCATTAATAATATGTTGTTCATGAGTCTTGACTCATACAGATTGCATAACTTCCTGTTTAAAACCGATTCGGCGTTTTGTTGAACGGCGTTTCCGGTGGAAAAGAGATGGGCCACCTGTTCGAGAGGGCACGGCCTCGTCAAGTCATTATCTTCTTGTTTTCTGTCATTCCGACGTGAAAGCCAGTTCAAAGGTTAGGCGTTTAAACCGAGGCTTGTGCGGAATTAATGAATTTTAAAATTTTTGCTTAAAATTTTTTGTTTATATTGTGTTAGAGGAGCGCAGAATTAAGTGAACGATAAGAGTTTTTGAAAATTTTGGTTTTGATTATTTAAGAGGTGATGGTGGTATGATACGATTGCTTTATGTTATAGTAGAAAGTTTAAAACTAGCTTTTTTGGTTTCAAGGATAAGGTAGTGTTAAAAAATGGCAGTCGCTTATTTGTTTGATCTACAGTTCAGTAGAAACTGCTTCTTTTTGGTTATCGATCAGTAGAACCCCATATAGCTTTGACAGACTAATAGCCTCAAAAATGATACCATAGCTAAAAATAAACTTACTTTGTAGCCGTATTTTTACTTTAGTAATCACGAACAGACTATTTTTATATTTGTAGTCGAAACCACGTCAAATTTTTGAATATTTCATAAATAAATTACTATATAAAGTAATTACTATGCGGTAAACACGTTATACACAAAAAAAGTTAGGTTTTGTTTATGAGCCACCCGTTCGATGTATTGTGTATAACATATTATGTTGATATGCCTCTCCTACGCTTTCACAATCTGCCTTTCAGTTTATGTTGTTGTGTACAATTACTTTGTCTAATAGAATACTTAACTACGTCTTTGTGGGTTAGTATAATAATAATGCTTATATATAATAAGTTGGGACAAACAATGTGTTGTGTATTGGGCTGTAGTAAGAACAAACAACGTATCATATCTTGAGCTGCAAGCCTTGCCGCTTCATACCTGTGGCAATGTCAATTATTAAAAAATGTAACAAAAAAGTATTGTTTCTTTAAGTAAAATGGCTTTTACAGTAACTGTACAGTGTTTTCGGCATGTACTTTGACGAGATCTAGTCACCTTTGGCCAAAAACTGGTTCTTAACAAATTTTAATATTTTAAATTGGCTTTTTTTACTGTGAAACAGCACTTAAAACATTTTTTAATTATATGTAAAGCTGGCTACATGTTTTTACTTTTATGTATCATCATTTGTACTTCTATAGTCACTAATATAACATGTCAAACTATGAGTATTTGTATTGTGGCCTCTATATCTGCCTATGTTAATATAAGTAATTCTTTATCTAAGTGTCATATTAAATCTTGAACTTAAAACTAAGAAGATACTACTCTTATCATTTATTATACCTAGAAAGGTCGTATAGTTTACCTACTCTAAGAGACTATACGACCACTTCTTTCGCCCTAAAGCGACTAAACGACCATTACTTCGCCTTAGAACAACTATACAACCCCTTCCTTACAACCCTTTCTTTGACATGTTGTCATAGTTTGCAAAACTTCAGTACGATAACGACTGTTTATGCCCAATTTAACATTTCCCTTTCTTTTGCCGATTACTTCTCGTTACTGTCGCTCAACTGCGGTTCCATAAACGTAACATATCCGCCGCTTTCAGGTATACGAAACAGCCATGGCGTTGGGTGCAGGTGCTCCACAAACTTCGGCATCTGTGATGCAGTTCAGTGAGGAAATCATCAAACAAGTAAGGCATTTGAAAGGAAATTCAGATAAAAAATTTAAAAATACACATTTAAAGGTATATCAAGGTTATGTAAAAATAAACAGAGAATAGTTTAAAGTACAGTAATACAAGTTCAACATAGTAAACCTACTAAAAAATGTTATAAATGACTCTGGGACAGCCTCAAAATCTTATTTTTCTTTTTAAAACACAATGCCAAGAACATTCATGTTTTCGTGGTGGGACCCAAAAAATACAACTTTATTATCTTTCGTAAGTTTAAAAATCTTCACAAATGTTCATTTTTTATGCAAAATGCGGGGTTTCCTTTCTTGCATTGGCTTTTAAATAATGTTTCAATTTTTACATTTAAAAACGCCGAAATTAGCGTTTCTGAAGTCATCTTCTGAAGATGTTGTTTGCAGTTTCACCAAATTTATTATGCAATTGGGAAAGTCAGAATAAAAAAAGCTTAAGAGCCCTTTAGCCGTTCCGCGAACGCCGTGCAACGTTCTCGGAAACAACGTGAACGGCGAAAGTAAATGACTTTTGGAGAGAACTTTGCTTACACTGACCATACATTAAAATGTTTAACTCTGATGCTTTTAGATAAGGAGTAATATTTTAAAAGTTTAAAGTTTAAAAATTAAATTTTTTAAAAAAGTTTTTTACAATAAATTGCAAAAACTTTCTTTCCAACCCGAGTTTTAATATTAAAAACTTTTGTTTTTGCAAAAACTTCTTTTCCAGCGGCTTTTTTAAAAGAATGTGAGGTATGCCATAGTTAAAAAGTGATAAAATTAAACGTGTTTAAAAGCAAATTAAGTTGAGGTCCAGCTGACGCTATAGCCAATACTTTAATGTCCTAAAATTAGATATTACGTCACAAAAGTTTTATAAATAAACAAGAAATAAAAACAAACATCTGTTTGATATTAACTAGGAAAGTACCCAACCTGTTCTGTTCCGATTGACTTCAAATTTTAGCATTTTTCTTTAGTATACTTACTAGTAGAAAACCTTTAAATAAACCAATATTTTTAAAGTTATAAGCGTAACTTGTCTGGAAAGTCAAAAAAAGTGCTTGAAACACAATGCCAAATTTGTCAAATCGGCGCGAAACCGGTATAATTTAAATTTAAAACTCAAAAGCGCGAGCTAAAATTTTTTATGCGTACTATTGGTGGTATAATATAATTTTTAACTAACTTTCTTTATGCCTTCTTTAGTTACATGTCATTCTTTTTGCATCAAAAAAAAAGTTGGTCATAAAAGACAAACTAGACATAAACACTACTTTTTTACAATAGCATAACCCTCTTTAACATCATTCCTTCAAAATTACCATTCTATTATAAAGCAGTATATAATATGCCCCATTATGTCACGACTTTTCTTCACTTTTGCTTTACATTATACACAAGTTGTATACATCATAACAGGTGTCAGATACATGTGTATAATATAGTTTAATCAAATCTTCAAGTAGCCGTAATCAACCTCCGTATTTACTGCCCGAAGCGAAAGGAGCGAGAACAGATTATCTACTCTAATATAACTGAAAGCACGACTATTATACTCTCGGCTCTACGTCCGGGTAGGGTCGTACATATTGTAAAGGTTGAAGTGCTACTATATTTTGAGGTTTCTACTGAAGTTACAGTAGTTTAAATTTTTTCTAGAGAGTACTGTATTATAAAACTTTGTGGAGGAAGATTACTGTATTACAAGAAACTTTGAGAAAGATTACTGTATTTGTAAGTTTTCTAAGAAGAATTACAGTAATTCTTTACTACTGTGTTAAAGTTACTTTTGTTTGGCGTACTGTACTATAGTACTTAATAGTCTCTAAAGGTCAATGTACTAGCCCCTACAGACCACGGAAATACCTCGGCTTTAAGACGCTTGTTATTGCCAATATATTAATTAATATTCAGGCTACTAGACCTATAAATACATTGTAAAAGCTAATAAGATTCAAAAAGCTTGCTATAGATCTTTCATAATAAGCTACGAAATATTTTACCTATTTTCACTACTTTAAAACTGCAAAATTAATTCTAAACCATAAAATTTTTGACAAAAACTAAACTTACTGTACTTTAAATTATACTTTGCAATCATTTTTAACTTTACACTGTATTTTACAGTAGTTCTAAATAACTTAAAAGGCAAATTTCAAAAAGTTACTGAAGACCTAGTACAATATTGAAAAAATATATAGTACAATATTGCCAACGTAATGTCTTCATCAGACGATTTGCAGTTGACTCCAGAAGAGATTGATGAATTCCGTGAGGCTTTCATGATGTTTGATAAAGATGGCAACGGTACTATCTCGACCAAGGAATTGGGTGTGGCAATGCGATCGTTGGGACAAAACCCCACTGAACAGGTATGTTGTACCACTTTGATAGACCATATTCAAAAAGTTAGTGTAAATCTTGATTTTCCCTGTTATTAATATGTAAAACAATCTGTTTTATAGTTTTTACCACATTTTAAAATAGCAGTCAAGCCTTTTAAAAAAGAAAAGTTACTTTATGATAAGAATTTACGCCCAAAAGCAAAAATTTTAAAAACTTCAAATTACTGTAATTGCTGCAGACATTATTTTGTTAGTTTTATGTACAAAACAAAAGTAAATCTGTTGTTTATTTTGGCAGTTTTTTGAAATTTTACATTAACGTACGTCAGAGTTATGACACTTTTAACTGACCAAAGTCACTTTTTTGCTACGAAATTGGTTTAGAAATCACAAAATTGAGAAAAAGAATGTAGCAATTGTAATATAATCTTACTAGTACTATAGTCATAAGCCTAGTAGTACTATAGTCTCAATAACTAGTAAAAGAATCCTATATCGTATTTTACCATGCCATTTCAGGAAATCCTAGAAATGATCAATGAAGTAGACATAGACGGTAACGGCCAAATTGAGTTTCCCGAGTTCTGTGTGATGATGAAGCGAATGATGAAGGAAACGGATTCAGAAATGATACGAGAAGCCTTCAGGGTGTTCGACAAGGATGGCAATGGAGTAATCACGGCCCAAGAGTTCCGCTACTTCATGGTGCATATGGGTATGCAGTTCAGTGAGCAGGAAGTCGACGAAATGATCAAAGAAGTCGATGCTGATGGTGATGGTGAGATTGACTACGAGGAGTTCGTCAAGATGATGAGTAATCCTTGAAAAGGTTGAAGGTGGTGCATGGCTTATGATATTACGCATAATGGTGTCAATTGAACACTGTGTAGAACGATGTCTGATAAGCAATGTAAAGCACTGTATTCAATGTATTGTGCTCCTACAGCCTAAGGAGCACAATAATAAGCTAGGCTGACTATATAATAGTATCATACTGACTTCACTGCAGTACGACGTATTACCTTTTACATCTATGCCTTTTCTGGAAGAAAAATGTTGATGTTAGAAGGCACAGAATTATTTAAACGTCTAAATAAGAAGTATAGTACATTGCACTACCTTGAAGATCTTTGGCGAGGCACAAACTTATCAAAACCTTTTTGTAAATACCTTCCTTTCTAGTTTTGCTTAGGCAATATCCTTATGTTTCCCAACTTATACCTAATCAAATATGTTGTTTCTGGCTTATACCTAAACATCAACACCTTTGTAGCCTTGTAGATTAGACTATATTAGCCTTATCTCCCTTTATTGGGGTATCTCTCTCCTATTATTGTAGTTACTTCTACTTTAAAAACCATTTTTTAGTTTAAAATGTAAAACATATTGTTCACAATTCTTATGTCATACACTACATAATAATAGTTTCCGGGTTGTATTTTGCCTCCTAGAATTTGTAATATTGTACAATAATTATGTTAAGCACATTCCTGCAACATTCCTCTAGAAAATGCGTCATTATGACTAATTTTTCAAAATTTTCTTGTAAATTTTTTTTTACTTTGAATATTTTAAACTTAAAATTTGAAGCGCTTTAAAAATTTATTTTAACAGCGTAAAACAGATCATAATGACACATTTTCTAGAATTTCGTCTACATTTTACTAAATTTGAATTAAACTTTTAAAACTTATATTATTGTATGTTTTTTATATTATAACTCAATAAATCGCAATAAATATAATATCATCGTATGAAAGACATAGTTAAAGTTAAAACCGTGATAAAAACTATTATATAATAAATAGGTATAACTAGCAGTTTAGCCATGAAATCAGCATAAAAGCTATAAAAAACTCAGCGCAAACTTATATATAATACAGTAAGCATTCGTATGATACAGACAAAGGGCGTTATACAGTAAAAAATTGTGATTTACAGTAGGAAATGGTGAGTTAAGGTAAAAGATAATAGAGTTACGCTAAAGAATGGTTAGTTACGGTAAAGAATTGTGGGTTACAGTAGACAATAGTAGAAAATGACGAATTACGGTAAGTGCCGACGCAAACATAAATTAAAATTTTCAAAACAAAGCGCCATTCTTTTTGCATTAAAATAACAACCAGCGACGTCAGTAGAAGAAGGAGTATGGGCGTGAATGAGAGTCAATCAACCCCCTACGCCCTTACCCCTTAAAAAATCAGTAACGACGTCCCTGATAACAACATATAAGACAGGAAGAAGAGACAAAACGGCAAGTTAAGTATTAGGTTGTTCACATAATTCTGTGCCCTTATTTCACAGCAAATTTGCAAGGTTAAATTATTTAAACAACCAAACAACAACCAAAAATGAAATTCAAATTTCTCTAAAAATGTTTTAAAATAAAAGACAGTAGAGACAGTGCCAACTATCATATAAACAGACGGTAGCCAAAAGGCAATCAATAATAGTAAAGAAAAACTATTAACAAACACCTTCACAATGAGGACAACACAGCTTTTCGTTCCAGAAGATGGTACAATACCTTCGCAGATGTAGCAATCGCTCAGCCATCATACCAACACATCTCTGTGGAATGGGACCATCTTGTTGTTTTACAGCTGGTGCTTTGGTACTGAAATTTAGATGTTATTCATGAAATTTTATTAAACAAGCCTATAATGTTAAAACCACAAGTGTTTTGCAAAAAGTGTCAAAAATGTAACAAAAAGAAGAGGTAATCCGTAATTGGAGATTAAATCTACGGTATTTACATTAACATTGATTATCCGCTTACTAATACCTTTATCTAATTTTAAAGCGTCTGAATTAATCTCGACTTCAAATTATTTTTTGACTTTTTAGGTAATAAAACGAGTTTTTAAATTGTTTTCTACCCTTTCTACCCTACCCTGTTTTGCCACACCCTACCCTATCATACCTACCCTGCTTTACCTTATCTTACTTTAACTTAACTTATCCTACCCTACTCTAAAATAACCTACACTGCCTTATCCTATTTTACCCTACCCTACCCTTACTTTCCATTCAAAACAATCAATATAAAAAGCAAACCTACGTTGGAGGTCCCTCAGTGACCACATCCTGATTAGGGTAGTTGTTTTCCTTCAAAAACTTGACAACTTCACCGTAATCCGTGGTCATACGATAGTTGAACTCTACCGTATAACAAGCGACAATCTTGGCCGAATTGTGAAGGCATTGTTGAGCCCATGCACTCTTACAGTCTTCTGAATTACAGTACAAGAAGTTGAATGAGCTACGACACGAGGCGTCTGGTGTTGGGCTACAGCATCGGCACTGAAGATATGATATTGAGAAAAGTAAAATAATAATAATAAAATAAAGTTTTTTATTGTCTTTTAAAAGTAAAAAGAATAGTATTTTAACTGAAATAAACTAAAAAGACCTACCTGTTCAGAACCCTCAAACCAAGCCTTTTGGCTGATTGGCTTTTGTTCAGCGCTGATCAAGTTCAAGAACACTTGGAAACGGCCACGCTGAAAACATATTAATAAATCAAGAATACTTTATAACTATGCTCTGTAAATCCTTAGGGCTTTAGAACCATAGGTAATCTACAGCTCCAAGTCAAGCAGCTCATCTACTACAACATTGAATATCTATGTCTATATCTTAAAAGTTATTGTACCAATTTCAGCAAGAATTAATATCAAAGTTGTACTTTTTGATAGGAATTTCATTACGAAGGACGGTCAAAAAGCTGCCATTATAAAGAGTGTGTCACACTATCAAACATCTTATACTAAAGAGGTTTCATTGAACAGCCAAAGTAAATAAAAAAGAACATCCACGTGAGCAAGAGATTTATACCTTATTTTTGCTATTGTAATATATACTTTTTCAAATTGACACTTTTCAAAAAACAAAAAAAAATTTTTGTCGCATAACCCTAACCCAACAAGAACCTCCTTCAACGTTCAAAGCCTACCCCCTTATTCAATCTTTTTTTGATCTCCTCATCAACACCGTTGATTTTGTTCTTGATCTTGTCCTCAAGTTCAGATCGGCTTGGCAGGCTAATCGACCTCTTGAATTCATAAGTTTTGGCGTCGATTTGACCGCACTTTGGTGAGAATGAACTTTCTTGGCCTTTGGCAACGGCTGGCAAAAACTTGTGTTCTCCTTGGTTCAGACCCTTCTCAATCTTCTCGCTGAGGCCACAGAGCTCACAGTAGCGGCTGAAATTCAAAAATTTTTTTTTGAAAAAAAAAAATTATAAAATAAAATTTTTTCTATAAACTTTTTTTTATTGTTACGTTACGTTTCATGTAGAAAAGTTTCATAATAATAACTGACCAGTATTGTCTCTTGTCACGCTCGACAATCCCACTGAATTCATCGCACTGCTGGTTCAGTAATCCTGTTTCCGGAATCATCGTGTACGGCACATCGAAGCGGATTCCTAAACGTATTTCATTACAAAAAGAAAGGTATTGATGTACTTTCAATTAAAAAAAATATGCATTGATAAATTTTTATTATAAGGAATATTGTTATAGGTTAGTGAGCCCAGAAAGACGATAAAGTACTACAACTAGTTCAAAAATAAGTGTTTTACGTTGAAAAAACACTCTGATTTTGGATTTAAATAGATGTTACGTTGTTCAAATAATTTTGTGCCTCCTCTCAAAACACATTTTTAAGGTTACGGGGCACAAAATTATTTGAACGACCTAATAAAACTTGCTTTTTTTATATAAAATTGTAGCTAAAAACAAAGCTTAATGCTTTTTTCTTACCCCCAAACAGCCCCATATCCCTACTTTTTAAACCCCCGCCTCCCTCTTCAAACCTACCAGCCGGCCCCTCCAACAACGGCACCTGCAACGTCACTCCAATCTCTCCAGTCAGATACCCAAAATCATTCAGAACATTGATACGCCTAAAGTGTAGCGAATAGTTTCCCGGAGCCTTGATGTAATAGACTCGGTTGCCCTTCTCATTCACGATATTAACATCGTCCTCGGTCATTTTGATCTCGTTCTTCACGCCACGGCACGAGAACATGTTGATCTCATCGAGGAGAATGTAGAGATCATCATTCGGCTTTTTGGCCGCCACAAAGACTGATGTTAATATCAGCGAGACCAGGAGTGGCCTCATTTTGATAATTGGTCGCTAACCTGAAAGTGTTGGGTTAGTATTCGTGCTGTGGTATAAAATAAAGTTTTACGGACAAACGTGGCTCAGGAGTTTGAAAATTACTTTAAAAAAGTTTTAGCAAAGTCCCACTCCCCCCCCCCGTTATATATCAAAAAAGCAAAAAATTAACTTTTAAAAGCTAAAATACAATAAAAAAACAAAAAAAATCGCCATATGTATAAAAGCTACTACAATCTTACACCCATTACAACCCCCAATACAAAAGAAAAAACAGTGCGTTACTTCAATAAAAATTCGAAATTAAAGCCCATAAAACAAAAAATAACTCTCAGCTTTAAAAAATAACGTTAAAACAAGTTAACTCAACACATAACTATGCCTTTCTGATCCGAAAGTAAAATTGTAGGTCATAAAAGAGAAACACATTAAATGAAAACGAACGCCATCAATAAAACGGAAGAAACATAACGGATAACAGTCCGTCAATAGTCTTTCAACACATTTTTAGGTATATTAAAAAAGGATATTATCATAGAAATTATTGTACTGGCTTTTATCGGTACTGGACTTTAAAAAACAGTGCAATGTGGTCTTGTACTGATCTAGGGAGATCATAGAGATTGGCTGACGGTCCGACAAGACCGGTGCATCGGTTCGGTGCGTTAGAATGCACTTTCAAACTCGGTTCTGTTAAAAACTTCAGATCCGTGGTCCCGGTCCTGGTTTTAAGACCAGACCGAACCGATAGCCACACCCAGAAGGTCAGAAAAGAGTAAAAACTAAGTTTAAACAGACAAGAACTTTAACCAAAAGTTTCTTTTTTAAATCTCAACAGGAGACCCCCACCCAACTTGTTTCCAAAATTTTTCACTACTCCCCCCCCCCTCCTCCCAGTACGATACTTGTACAAAAGGTACAAAAGTCTCTTATCAGCTATAACATATTGAGTTATTATAGAAGCACGATGACACATAGGCTGCGCCAAGATGTCTGATGACTAGAAACGTATAATATAAGCTTGCTCGCCATCTAATCCCACCCAATACTTTTTAAAAAACCCGTCCTTATGTCATCGTTTCATCATCAACCACGTTTTTCACAGATCTTGATTAAAACTTCCTACTTCAATTTTATGAATATCTAATTTTGGTAAGTACGGCAAAGTGGTCAAGTCAAACCTAATAATACCTCAACATTTAGAAAAATTAAATTACTCTTAAAGTACAGGTAGCTTTGAGCACAAACTGTACTTTAAGGCTTTCCTATTATGATGACTTAAAATTTAAACGCTGTACTACCCTATATCAACTCTTTATAACTCCCAAACATCACTCCATGACAATCCCCACCACTACCCTTCACAACTTCCCTCGCCCCCACCCTGAAAAGTGAGGAAAACGTTTTTTTGGGATTTCCATTCCACCAGCCTGAACTGATGACAGACTTCGAGAACAGCGCCGCAGGGTATCGGCTGGAAAAAGTGTTGTGAAGAGTGAGAGAGAAACCAGAATATCTCTTCGCTTCGGATGACACAAATATTCCTAAAAACTTTGTCGGAGATTTTCGAAGAGAGCGCGCTTCATCAGTCGACGGCATTAATAACCCCCGCTTGCTGATTTGCTCGCAAATCTCTCCAACGGAATGCCCTTAAAGGTGTGTGTTTAAAAAAATTTTTCCACCATGAAGAAGGAAGGGAATGGAAAGCGAACACGTCCGAAGAAGATACGAAAACGCTGAAACGTTGATTCGGATGGACACAAGGTTCTGTAGGTGCAAACATTTTTTGATGGCTTAGGAGTTCAGGTCAATAAATAATTTGTGAAATTCAGTTTACAAACTTATAATTAAACCGTACGCATAATTCTAATAGTATGACTTTTTAAATTAACTAATAAAAATCGAAAAGAAATTGAAAGAAAAGTAAAAATGATTATCGCCGTCGTGGTAATTACAATGCCATTACTTTCCATGATCCCGATTCTTTACTTTCACTTTTTACTCAACAAAAACATATAGAATACAAAAGGAATCAAGCCTTAGTAGCTGATGAGTTCAAGCTTTGAATTTAAATATAAAACTGTGATAACAAACAATAAGTTTCGAATGTTTTAAATACCACTAAAAATGCCCTAATAACATACTATTTTTGTTTACAAAATTATGTTTCTGAATCATTTTTTAAATATTGTTATTTTCAATATTTAATCAAATCAAATAAGTCGTGGTAAAGCTTACAAAGACGCATAAAACAATACCAATACAAAGTTGACACTCCGCAACATTTTTCCGATAAAACAGTGAAGTTCCGTTCTTAAGAAAAGATATTTTTATTCTTGATGCGCGCGCGTTCCAATCTTTCTTTTCCTTGCAGCTCAAAATGGAGAAACGCTTGGGGTAAAAGACTTTATTCTATATTATTAGTTAGTTTAACATAATTTTTAACTACTTATTTAACTATGTCCGGACCATCTACCTCTCAGACTGATCAAGTAAGTTCTTTTTCTGATGTTTATTGAATTTTTAGGCAAACTAGAACCAAACCTTATCAGAGTTTTGTGGAAAAATCTTTGACTTGTTTTCAAAAGTTAGTAATTAATCGTTTAAGTTCTAAACTTAATGTTAAATAGTATTTCAATTGTAGTATTTTATTAATAAAACAAATTTAGGCGCAAACCTTACAAATATTGGCCGATGAAGTCGGCAGTTGTGATAGATGCTATCAAAGATATTACAATATTCTCCAAACCAAATCAACCTCAACCGACAATAAGAAGAAAAAGAATAAGACCAAAACTAACCAACCTAACACCTTTACTAACCACCCCTTATTTCGAAACTTCGATTTTACTGGTGGGGGATTGATTGAGCCAGGACCGTTAGGGAAAAACATTTTTGATCTCTCAACTGCCATTTCCAAGGCCGCTACATTAAGTCCGAAGCGGAAAGAAAAACAATTGGAGCAAAGCTGCAAGAACATTCAGTTATGTGAGAGCAACTTGGAGAACTTGAAGAAAAAACTGGTTGATGTCATGAATAAGAAGGTAAATTTAGTGTTCCACTTCTTAGTAACTTTGTTTAACGTTTAGGTAGAACTGAGGATCGATGGTATTATGAATGGGACGTCTGCTGAGGGAAAGAAGGTTGAGTCGTCCATAAAAGAGAAATACAGGATACGAAAAGAAGTACGTTGTAAAACTTATTTTATGTTATACGAATGAAGAATAAGATTTTAAACAATTTTACAGCTAGTTGTATTTATTACTATACAAAAAATCACAACACAAGTAGTTGAATACTTTGTCTTATATTCAATCTAACAATGATTGTTTCAGCAACTGAATGAGAAGTGTCGGCTTCAGATGGATGCTTTAAGAAAGCAGTTGGAAGCCGATATTGATTTTGAAGAGAAAAACGCAAAAATAACGATTGAAAAAGCAAAACAAAAACGCCTTAAACAGATTGACGATGAATTAACAAAAATTGGTTGTTCCGGTGACGGTAAGTATATTTTATCCACTAAAAATACAATATCACATTTAATCAAAATTTAAAAATAATTTATTAATTTCTATTTTAACGTTCCGTCACTAACAATAAGCCGTCTCCTTCTTTATTTATTTGTTTTCAGATTTCTTAGTGAATGGGCCAAAGTTGGAAGTACTGGAGTCCGAAATCGTGGAAGTAGATTCTGCCGCTTTTAAAGGGCAAGTAGTACTACCATTAAATAAAAAAGTTGACAAACGAATGCGAGAATTGGAGAGAAAAGAGCTCCAAAACTTTTGTTTGTATGCCAGAGCGCCAGCACGTGTGGGTAAAGTGCTGAAGAAGAAGAACGCTGCACTGAGGTTGAGTAATGTACAGTTAAACGGCAGTTTTTGGGCGCCACTTACTGAAGTAGAGTAATTTTATAACATCTATTTGGTTTATTTAATAAATGCTAACAAATGTCTTGATTTTGATGACTTTCATGATTACTGTAGCGTTTTTTTTCTTTTAATTTCTTGTAAACAGTCATGATAGAAAACTTGGCATGCCATGTTTTTCAAAATTCTTTAAAATTTCTGAAAGTGAAAATTCATTTCATAACTTTTCTTTTTACTTTACCTTCAAAAGTCCTACTTTGTATACCATGGAAGCGGTCGGTTTTCTAATTTCTTTTGTTTGTGGCATTCTGTTCTGGTTAATGGTAACATGTGCAAAAAGCAAAACCCCTCCAAAGAACTGCGAAAATTCGATGAAAGGAAAACTAGCCAAGGGTGCTGTAAGTAAACTTTTATTGTAATTTATAGAAAATTTAATTTATACTGTTTCAAAAAAAAATTTTTTAATATTATTTATATTGTACTAGGCCATGGTTCGCACTGTGCAACGATATTTACAGTTTGAAAAAGAATTGAATAAATAAAGTAAAGAAAAGTTGCCGGTTTAAGATAATAAAATTTATGCAGAACTGCTGACCTGTAAGCTTTCTTTGTAACACTTGTAACGGTGGGGTTTTGCAGAAAGCCTCCGATCCCCCAAAAGATGCCAAATCGGAACACGCGGCCGCCAAGAAACAGAACGAGGCCGCGAAGCCAAACGACGAAGCCAAACAATCCAACCAACAACCCGGTGGAAACAAAGGCGAGCCGGTGGGCGAGGCTAAGCGGGAAAAGACTAAGATCATCACTTTGGACCATCAGATCGACGAGAAACATGATGAGACTGGCGACCAACCGCAGACTCAAGAGACCCTGGACAGCGAAAACAGCGACCAGAAGCAGGTGGGAGTTGAAAAGACACAGGACGTGGAAGAGGATGATGCTGCCCAAAAGACACAGACATCGGAAAAGTCGGGCAAAGTCAAGAACTCCGTTAAGAAAGCGCGAGATGTGGACAAGTCTTTGGTAGAAAAGACACAGGACGTCGAGTAGGGTCATTTGGTGAGAGGTGGTCACATCTGGGTGTACAGAAATGTCCCTAAAATCATATTTTTACTGGTGAATAAATTTTTTAACATAATGATAATTGCATTCCATTTTCCAAGAATAATCATCATTTATGAAAACTGTCATAATCTGATCTTCATTTTTAAATATTATAGATCATAAAAGCTGATTCCCAGCGTATTACCGGTCAAAAGTAAACTGAAAAATAAAAATTAAGATCATTTTTATATACTATAACTCAAAGCTAATGCAGTAGCCCCTTAAGAGCCATTTAATTTCAAAAAATATGGTCCAAATAAGCAACGTCAAACCAAGAAATATAGTTCAAAGTAGTAACTTCAATAAAAATAATCAAAATTCCGAACATACGTTCAAATTCATTTATTCAGATTGATACAAGTAAGATAGTTAAGTTAAATAAAAAATAGTTACGGTTATAAAATAAAAAAAACTCATGAGACCTTTAGAGATGTGAATAATGTAATGATCAATCAGACTAGATTTAGACGGGAAAAATAAATAAAAGTTGCTATAAAGTGCTGCAAGTAGTCTTAAAATCAAGTAGACAAAGCCTTTGTAGTGAATTAGGCATAACATGTAGTAAAGAGGAACAACGTTTTAGTAGGATGACCATAAATAATGAAGGTACGGCACACATAAAGTAGTGTAAAGTAACTTTAATCACATTTTCGACCATATTTTAAAAGAAAACGTGTTCAAAGTCAAATCACACTACATAACTTTAAAAAGTTGAGCAGAGCGTCTACAGAGATGCTACAGTAATAAACAGTACAAGACAAGGACGAGTTTGACAATGATATAAAACTAGATAAGACTACAGACCTATATCATGTTATAAAAATCAAAAACCTAGGTAAAATCATACCTGCAGATCTAACATAAGTTACACTGATTTGCTCAACTTTTTGGCTTCGTCCAAGAACCTTTGATCTCCTTCATCAGCTGGAGTGATCTCTGACATTCGTAGCAAGACATTCTTGGCAGCCAACTTGTCGCCTTTGGACACATAGGCTTCAGCAAGATGGAAGAGGTTTTCTGGCCAGTTTGGACGGTATTGGTCAACCTGAAATTGAATTTTCAAATTTTTATGTCTTCTACAGAAGTTTTACTGCATTATATTGTACTAGGCCATGTTTGAGTAGACGAGTAAATTTATGCGGATCGGTACGGGCAAAACTGAATATATTAGGTTGTTCAAATGCCCTTAACCCCAAAAAGTCGCTTTGAAAGAGAGCACAGAATTATTTGAACAACCTAATATCAATATTGAACCCCAGTCACATTTTGAAAGGAAAAGCTGTAAAACCTTGTAAAATCCTATTGCTTACCGCCAGAAAGTCTTCGATGGCTTCCTCAACAGTTGCTTTAGGTGGATCTGATGAGAGTGCAGCCGCAGCCTTTCTCTCGACCCACGTCAAGTTGGCAATGTTGAATCGGAGTCGCGCTCGCATGTACAGTACGTTAGCATCATGAGGTCTTATCGCGAGGGCTTCTTCTATGTATTTCTACAAATAGCAATGATAATTCTTAATTCTGGATATTAAACCGGCCCCTTAACGCTTCAAAAAGCAGTTTAATATCTTTTTGGCTTTTACATTCACATTAAGAGGTATAAAGAGTCATTAAAATGAAGGTTTTGGTTACAATATGACAAATATTAGCCCATAATAATCCTTTTTCCAACAAATCTTACCTTAAAGTTGTTCCCCTCCTTGATCCTCTCCCTAGCTCCAACAAATTCTGTCATCGATCCACTAAGAGCTGCCATCCAATGAATAACCTCAAAATCAGTCTTATCACTCAAAGTATAGGCTTTCGTGGCATATGCATGCCCTTCTTGAACCAACTCCTTGTTCTTGCCATATTTGTAGCCTAAAGCATGACAAGCTCTGGCCATGCGCCATAGTAACTCAACATCATCAGGTTTTGATTCGAGAAGCACCTTCAACTCGTCGTAGCTCTTCTGATTCTCATGGTTTTCGAACATTTTGTCAATTCTCTGAATTGGGGTCTAAAAGTAATGTCATATTTCAAATTTTGTTTAAAAAATTCTTCATCTACATTAATATCACCCAGTAAATCAAACTCAATATCAACCATTAAATCAACTTCACTATCAAAAAAAACATTAAAATTTAGAAATTCAGCTTCAAACTGACCTCATGAACCTCAGCAATGATAACACTTTTCTTCCTTGGCAAAGGTCTCGGATTGTCACCATGTGGAACCAATATCAACTCATCAGTAGCATCATGAAACACCAAACTTGATGTGGTAGAAGCTGCTCGGATCACTCTGTGTCCCCAATTATGTTCAATTTCATTCACTCGACAAGCTACTGCACCATTTGGCATTTTAGATGGCTTGGGTGTTTGAGGTTTGTCTTTGTTCACAACAACATCAAATTGATACCTAAAATGTTAAAACTTAACGTCATAGATTAAAGTTATATAAAGTTATCCTCAAGTTTCAACTTTATACCTAAAAACATGCAAAATATTCAAGATTAAAAGTAAAATTTCGAAAAATATTATTTTAGATAACAAAATTGTAAAAATCGCTCACTGTTCACGATTCAACAAGCCAGAAACGTCTTTGTTCAACTTCCCAATTCGTTTGTACAACTTCCATAAGAAGCCCATCAATATCAAAATCAAAAGGCATTGAACGCTGCAAGTTATCCAGAACGTTACCTTCAGTTGATAAACGTAAAGTTCGAAATTCTAAAAAAGTTTTTTTTTCAATCAAGATAGACGTAAATCTCACATAGGTACCTAGAAAAAACAAAAATGACATTAAAATCGCTAAAAATATAAAATTGACCTTTACAATATTGTCTAGGCTTACCTCTCGACCTCTTTCTGATAAAACCATTTTGATTCAGGAATCGTTGACCAAAAATGATAGATATAAGCAGTAACTTCACTGTAATTCAACACTGCACAACTTTGACTTCGAAAACCTTCAGTAAGCTCTGGAAAACCTTCTGTCTTCCAAAAAACCCGTCAACAAGACAAAACACTGAAAAAATACGTCAACGCGATGAAATAACTAAAATATTCGTCCAAAAAATGCGTCACCAGACGAAAAAATGAAAACATTCGAGGAACTGGGTAAAAAATAATTAGAAACAATGTTTATCTTATCAATATTGGTGTTGCACAAGCCCGAACATGTGGGACTTTGATCAGAAGGTCAAATTTCAGGAAAATCGACTGATTTCCAAGCTTTTTTTTATCGGATTCGACGTAAATTGACTGATCTTCGTGAGTTTGGGTCAAGCATGAAACTTAGCGTTTATCAAGCGGTTACCGACTGTAAGTTACTTTATCTTTATGTTATCTACGTTTAGAATCCAGAAGTTAATGTTTTTGTTCTTTGAAATTCCTGCAATGCTTTGATAATCAAACACAACATCAAAACACAAGAATCCAATGATAGTTTTAGCGTTTTATTGAAAGAAAATGGCAAAATATTCGAAATTTACAAAAATCTATACATAAATCACAAAAAAATGAATATAATCTACAAGATTCTAAACCGAAATGTCAAAATATTGAAACAATATCAGGCTTGCAAAGGCTAGAAATTATTTATGAGACCTTTATTGTCAAATGCTGATGATTCAGAGAGATTTCAGCAGTTTCTTCGCTTCTTCAATGTGTTCGCGGTCGGCTTCGTCTTCCGATTCCATTTTGACAAGCCTGTTCAGGCAGGCTTTAGCCTTGTCTTTTTGGCCTTTGGCAATGTAGGACTTGGCCAAGTAGATGAGGTTTTCCACCCATTCCGGCTTCAGTTTGTCAACCTGAAAAGTGGAGGAGATTGATGAACAGTGCACGGATGACAATTCTGGTTTAAGGGGGGCAGAGGAGGTCGAGAACTATTTTTATTATCCATAAGTTATGGACTATTCATAGGAGAAGCATGTTTAAAACTTTATGAGGGATATGAAAAACTAACTTACCTCAGCAAAATCGACGATAGCTTCATCAAAGGTGGCTGTTGGTGGAGTGGCGAAGAAGGCGGCGGCTGCTTTTCGTTCGAGCCAGCCCAGATTGGCAACGTTGTACGAAAACCGACCTCTCATGTGTAGAAGTGAGTACTCTGTGGGGTTGATGGCCAGACCTTTGTCTAGGTATTCCTGAAGTATTTTTTTTTTATAGTAGTGGCAAAATTGGCAGAAGATATCTCTTGCTCATAAAAAGACGAGTTTTAGTAACTCAAAATAATATTTTATATTAATTTAAATTCTCAAACATTATATTAAAGTACTAACAAGTCTAATATAAACCTACTTTGAAGGTGAATCCCTCCTTGATCTTCTCTTTTGTCCCCAAAAAATCTGTCAACGCTCCACTGAGAACGGCAGCCCATTTCACAGCATTAAAGTTCTTGTCATCAATCTTGTAGGCGGCTACAGCGTACTTGTAACCTTCCTGAATGAGATTCTTCCTTTTTGGACTCTTCTGATCAACTGTGTTACTCAACGAGTGACATGTCCTGGCAGTTCGCCATAAAGTTTCAATATCCTCTTTTCCTGATGCTGCTTCTTTCAGCAAATCGTAACACTTTTGGTGATCACCATTTCCGTGTAATTCGTCTGCTTTCTTCAAGGAACTCTGCAAATAATGGTTGTTAATGATTTTTAAATGATTTTTTGATATTTTTGATAAAGTTTTCACACTTCTTTAAAAAATCATAAAATTTTAATTTATTTAAAGATTTTTTAAAAGATGATTAGCACTGCCTATAACATTTATAATATAACTCTTTAAGCCAAAAATATAATTAAAATTTTGAAATCCTTACCATAATTCAACAAATACCGACCGTATATTGACCCGTTACTAATAATGACTGATTCTAGAAACAAAAAAACATAGTTGAGATTGATATGCAAATTTAGCGAACTAACTTAACACGCATGCACGAATTTCATCAGATAACTAGCATAAAATTTCAAAAGTACGTAAAATTTTTTAAAAAAATTTTAGGTTGTACACATAATTCAGTGCCCCCAAATTCGAAAAATTGCTTTGAAAAGGGGCACAGAATTATTTGAACACACTAATAGTAAAAAATCAAATAATTTGCTTGCCTTCACTAACAACCCGGCCAACGCCATCTACCCTTTTCATTCCCTCCCACCTAGCGACGTTTTTAAGGTCTGCCATTGTAAAAGCTACCCTAACTTATCATATAAGAGGTTCTAAATCCAGTTTTTTTGTGTCCAAAGTCCACTCTTAATTTAACTTATTTTTCTCAACGGAAAAAAGTCTGGCCAGCTTTTTCTCATTTTTTAGGTCAGCGCTCGCTGCTTATATACGCGCTTTACACTGCTTATGTTAATATAGCATTTTTTGGATTTCCGATGAGTTTTTGAGATTTTTTATTGAAAAATATCAAATACTTTTAGTATTGAATAATATCTTTTGTAGCTTTAAAATTAAAAAATAAATTCTTTGGTCTTAAGCTAACAATACCATGTAGTTTACCATAACATTCTAAAAAACAACCAAAACCTTGAATCAAAATATCAATCAGCCCTCTCAATCAGCTATTTATTTTTGCATTAAAACCACTAATTAGTCTTAACAACCATTTAGGTCTAAAACACGAAATTCTCCTCAATTTCGACGTTATCTTTCGCTCCCAACCACAAAAAAGCCTTAATTTTTAATGCGTAAACGTTGGAACGTTTACTTTTCGGTTCCTGTTGAAATAACAACATTCTAGTCACACGTGGCTTAAAGAATTCAATTTGAAGGGAATTGAAGACCTAGTTTAATAATTATTTATAATACAATAAGGCTAATTTGGTTTTATGATTGAATCCTTATAAGGGAATTTTTATTAAACAGAAATGAATCATTTTTAAAATTATACAAAACATTAGCCGACTTTGACAAGATATGGCCATTACATCAAGATTTAAGAGGTTTTGGCCCTTATGTATAATATAATATTATACTCTTTTTCATACCCCCCACTATTTATGTTAAACAATCAGCTGTGGAAAAGCAAAAGGTTCAAACCATACTTTTACCTACAATACTGAGGATTAATAGTGCTTACAATAATTTACCCTCCACTTACAATAAGTTTTTTAATCCAAACTATATTTTTAAACACTTTTTTGAACCTAACACAACAAAAACCATCAGAAAAAACATCGAAAAGTTAACATTTTAAATGGTTTTTATAGAAGCAAAAGCAAAGTAAATAGATTTCATGTGGAAACAGCCATTTCATGTTTGTAAAACGTACAGTAACGTTGTTCTTTGATATACCATTTCGTATGTAAAAAGCTTGGTATTAGCATAGATTAATCTTTTAAAAGTTTTTTGATTAAATTTAAAAGATTTTTGGTTTAACACGTAGTCACTAAAAGTGCATACAATCTTATAAACCTTAATAAAAGTCCAAGAAGTAGGCCTATACCTTACTAAAAGCCCAAAAATGGCTTATAACTTACTAAACTAGTCCAAAAGGAAAGCCTATACCAATGCCAATAAAGAAAACGTTTTGTAAATCCTTACCGTTCCAACCCCACCGTTTCCAAAGTCATTCTTATCCAAAGTAAACCGATCAGATGTTGGATTGCCAAAGGTTGTGTCATTGGTTCGATTCAATAGTGCTGTCGAGTCACCTGAAGTCGCCCATTCATCGTAGGCATCTTGGAAGTCGCTACTCGACGTGACTGATGCTACACGACTGATAGGACTCAAAACGGCCGCGTCTCCGGCCGATGATTGAGGAATTGATGGTGAGAATGTCACATTGTAATGAGGTTTCTGTGGGATGGGTTGGGAGTCTTCGATGAAGCGGATCTTGAGCTTCAGGTCTTGGACTTCGTCTCTGAAATCATACAGTTAAAACTTCTTAAAGTTCTGTTTCCTACTGAACACAGAAGCTATCATATTCACTAATGTACGACAATACTAACTGTGAGTATATTAATTAACTTCCGACAAGATTAATTAAAATTTCTGTATTAGGCCATGTTACAGTAATATAATGAAAAATAGCTTCTTAAATGTACCGTAACATACCGCAATTGATTGGTTTCTGCAATAACCTCATCACATTGGTACTTCAGTCGCTTCAACTTCCTATACAAGTACAATAAGGTACCAGACTGTATGAGTATTGCACTTGCCCATACTGCATTGCTCACGCCCAACGCTGTGCCAAACCCAGCCATATTATACTGTACACAAAGGCTTTCCTATATAATTTAAAACATAAAAAATGTTACTGAAATCTTGCGAAAACTCCAAAAAAGATCAACATTAGAGCTATAAAACGAGATGACGTAGTATTTCTCGTCTAGAATCAGAAAACGAAAAGAGAAAAATAAGTTTTGTGATCAAAAGCGACTTTCACTCCGCCAAGACAACCATTATTGTATCTTTATCTTTTATAAACAACCTCTAGGAAATATTGTTGACGTCTACTACAATATTTTCCAAGATACTGATTGTTACTTCGAAAGTGAATGTTTAGAAGATAAGTCATCTTTAATATTAGGCCGTTCGCTTAATTTTGTGCCCCCTTTCTGAGCAAATTTTCAAAAAATCACAAAAAACAAATGTCTTTGATAATTTCACTAATAGTTATCACTGTCTTGAAGTTTTTGAAATATAATGTTAGTGCAAACATAAATATTAATCAGAGTGAGAACTGTTACACGTTAGTTAGTAATCAGTATTATACCTTGTTTAGCCCAGTTTATTCAACAAAAACAATCAACAACATATTACACTAGATAACAAGATAGTTATAGTATAAGATAAAAGATCATTTAACTGCTTTTTCTTTAATAATGTGTGTCAATAACACTTATTGTGCAGTAAAACCTATTTATAAGCAACCTTATTGTAAAAAATATTATATTTTTATAAGACTTATCATTTTATAACGTAATCAAACTTAAAAAACCGTATTTAAGCCTAAAAAGGCCTGTTAAACAAAACATTTGTTACAATATAACAAATATTCCCTTCCCTTTAGTTTCTTATATCAAGACTTTACTGCACCCTCACTATCACCAAGATCAAGGCAGCCTAGGCATTTTGAAAGCCTTATCAGCCATAAGAATAGCAGCTTCCTTCGTTTTGGCACCTCCAATAAAACCAGTAGCATGAACAAAGCTCGCCGTCTTAATTCCAATCTTCTCTGCCAACGCATTGTCTCTCACACCTCTCCAGTCTTGAGGTAATGGCCATCTGTTGTCAAATTCTGTGTTCTCTGACACTGGAACTGATTGGATTCTCCATGAATTACCATCCTTATCTCCTGGATATATGGCGTATACAATTTTGCCTCCAATCGATTGTTCTTCCTCTATCATGAAGAAATGCTGTTTCCATGGACAACATTGTTCTAGGACTATCACTCGACCACTCTCGTGAACCTAAGACAATGTCAGTTATATTTTTGCAATAGAAACCAATTTTGAACCAAATTTGTAATGTAACTATGTAACAAATTACCAGTTTTAAACAATGTATACTCATTTTAAACATAAAATTAAAAAATATTGTAGTAGCCTTACATCAAATCGACTGTTAACAGCATCTTCCACGATTTTTCTAGCTGGCATCCAACTTTTGTGAATGTATAGTACTTTGTCCCTGAAAATTGTACCCACAACCTTCATGGCTTCCTCAAACTTCACATCAGGAGACTCATCTTCATTCCATGGAGGGTTCAGATCTTCTACAAGACCTTCGAGTGACACCGGAATAATGTACCTAAAATTTCGCATCTTTTAGTTAAATTCAAATTATTTAAAAAGATAATAAAAGACAAAGCATTTTACAACATTAAATATACGTTACATTCTAAAGCTCAATTATTACTTAAAAACATACTTTGAAGGCTCATCGTGACTCTTAATGCCATTGTCAATAGCATCAACAGATTCCACAAAATGTTTGTATAGACGATCGTAGTAAAAGTCAACAGTCTCATCATCCACCTTTTCATCATTCAAAATCGCCTTAATGACTTCCTTACCATAAAAAGCGTAGATCAATCCGGCTGAACTCAATTTAGTGTTATATTGTAAAGTCTTCCTCGTCACCATCTTTCCATCTTCAATCGTACAAGACAACGTAGCCATTGTTTCACAGAATTCACTAAAAAGTATACATAATTAAGTAAATTTAAGTTCAAGCAGTACTTTATCTTAAGATTAATTCCTTCAAAAATTCAACATTTAAATGCCAATATGTACCTAAACCTAGAACGAACAATAAAAACAAGCTTACCGTTGATGGTGATCGTACCTCTTCGCCTTATGATCAAACACTCCTCCAACATCAAGTACAATATCGCACGTGCTCAAAACCTCAGGATCTCTAGTCCTAAAACAAATCAATAAACCATAAAACAAATATAAAAACTCATTACAATGTCCAAGACAGAGTAAACTACTCATAAACACAAGAAAACAAAATTAAATTACCTAAGGATAATGTGATCCTTGAACTGAGGTAACTGCTGTAACATCCAACAGCCAAACACCTCGTCACAATGGAATTTACCATTGTGAGTGCCAATATACTTGTCCGAAGATGTCATTATGTTTCGAAAAGGCAAAAACCGATAAAGCCCACTTCGGAGAATATTCATTTTCTAAAAAAACAAAAAAGACAAGGATCAATAGTGACACTTCGTCACTTCTACAATTAATTTTTGCGCATAAATTTTTGGAAAATAGAAGTTTTTTTAGAAAAATCGTCAGTTTGGTATGTTTGAGGGCTTGGGGTAGGTTGGTTTTTGGGTTTACGGGGTTTTTAGGGGCTTTAGAATGTTTTGGCGTTGTTTTTATCGTGTTTTTCAGGTTTTTGACGTTACTTCGAGTATTTTTAGGTAGATGTCGTCGTATTTACAAGATCAGGCCGAAGAGTCGGAAAATGAAGGATCTGTAAGTTCGGTGGAGTCTGATGCTCCAAAATCTAAGAAACGAAAGGTCGAGGACCAGAAGAAGAAACGAAAAATTGAGTAAGTTGAGGTTTTTGATGAAAATTTAAGTTTTAGGCATGAATTTGAGGGTTTTGGCAAAAAATTGGCGTTATTTTAGCGTCTTACCAAATTTTTTGAATTTTAGTGGTGAATATAATTAGAAGTTTAGTGTTGAATATAAAATTTAACATGTGTATGGAAAATTTGGGTATATTTTGATAGGCTTGGTTCATTTTCTAACATAGCTTTACGTTTAGGAGTTCTGACGAAGACGACGATGAAGAAGACGATGATGCCAGAGCTCGAGAAGAGATGAAAGGTTTTGTCGTTGACGAAGAAGAAGACGATAATGAGGATGAGGATGGTAGTGACGATGATAAGGTGTGTAAATTTTTATTTGTTTGTTTTGAAGTTTAGATATTTTGATCAACATTTTTGGGTAGAGAACATATAAAAATTTAGTGAAAAATTTACTGTTTATTATATTTTTTGTTGTCTGTTTACGTTTTCTGAAGATTAAATGAAAAATTTGGTTTTAGAAGTCAGAAAAGAGCGAGTCAGACGCTGATGATCTACTTGACGATGATTTGGACCTGGTAAATGAAAATATTGGCGTCAAAGTAGGAGGAAGAGTTCAAATTAGTGATGATGAAGATGATCGAGAGAAGATTCAACGAGAATTGTTTAATGGTGCTGCGAATGATTATGATGATGAAGATGACTTTGTTGAACGTCGACCGTCCAGAAGAGAAAGATCTCGTTCTAGGTCAGAAAGCTCCCATGAAAGTGAAGAAGGTAATAAAATTATTTTAAGGAGTTTTTTTTTTATTTTTAGCTGTCTTTCATTATTTTTTAGTTTATAGTGCTTATATGTTTTATTTTTAGACGATCGTTTTATTGTTGAGGACGATGAAGGGTCAAGAAGACGTCGACATCGCGGCGGTGCTTCAAATAGAGCGTAAGTTGCTATACTATTACTTGTTTTTAAGTCAGTTACTAATAATTTTTGAGCTATTATATTGTTATTTACTATGTCAAACTAGATTAATATTTTTAGTGAGCTCCGAGAAGCCCAAGACATTTTTGGTTTTGAAGATGAAGACATTTTGGGTATTAATGATATCCTAGGCGAAGGAGATGATTATGATGAAGAAGGAGGAGAAGAATCACGTCAAGAGAAAACCTTACTTAATGTGTTAGAGCCTGAAGATCTTGAGCTACACAAATCAGAAGATCACAAAATCATCTATGCTGATATTCCAGAACGCTTTCAAGTTCGGCCGATTCCAGTTCAAAAAGCCGAAGAAGATGAACTTAAAATGGAAGCTCAGTGGATAATGAAGAGAGCTTTTGATAATTCAAATCTAGTGTCACATCAGGAAGGCTATGCCTTAGTTAAACAGAATATGTCAAACGAAGATAAACTGAGGAACGAGGCTCCAGAAAAGATTCAAGAAGCCCTGAATTTCATTAGAAACTCGAATTTGGAGGTATTATTTATTGCTTTCTACCGAAAAGAACATGTTGATGAAGTGCTGAGTATTCAAGACTTGTGGGCGATATACGAGTACGATGAAAGATGGTTACACCTGAGAGATAGGCAGAACAGATTGAAGGAGCTCATGAGGAGAATGGAGACTTTTGTTAGTGAAGTGCCGGAAAGTGAAGGATTGGTACGACCGGTCAAGCCGGATGATTATGCAAAGTAAGGTCTTTTGTAAGACGTTTAGGACTTATTTTTGTTGGCTTACATGTTAACTGACTCTTTCTTAAGGTTTTTGTTTATATTATTGTAGCAGTCTGTATTAAAAAATTTATTTTAAGGTTAACTAAAGGGTAATTTCACTATCGTTTTAGGATCGAAATAGCAGAAACCAACGAAGAAGTGAACGACTGCTTCGAACACTTCCAACTCTACTACTCTAACTTCTTAACTCGTATGGTACAACATGAAATCGAGAAGAACCAAGACCCAGATCATCAAGCTCAAGCAGTGCCAAAAACAACGGCCAAAAACGATAAATACTGGAGCTGTGCTTTCAATGGACCTGGTGATGTGGTAAAACACTTTGGCTTGACGTCAGAACAAGTTGCTGAGAATTTTGAGTTTCCTCGACACATTGCTCAGTCCAGCGAGTATGCACCAATGGATGTGGCACAATCGCTGGTTAATCAGCTGTTTGAGAATCCGGAAATGATTATCAAAGGAGCGAAGTACGTTTTTGCATACCAGTTGAGCAGAGAACCGGCTGTCAGAAGGAGGATTAGATTGGTAGGTTTAGTATGAAGTTATTTTTTGGTATTTGAATTTATTTTATGAGGGGAATAAAACTTTTTTGACATTTTTGTTTTTGAGGTTTTTTGGTTCTAATTATTGTTCAAATATTTTTTTTGGATTTTTTAAAGTTATTTTCAATAACTCTTAGATGTATCGCAACTATGCAAAGCTTCGAGTCTACCCAACAAGGCGAGGCATAGTCGATATCGACGAGTCAAACCCGATATACCCCAGACGATACCTCACAAACAAGTCGGTGCGAACCCTAAAGCACGCTGAATTCCTAGAGTATCATGCTGCAAAACAACAAGGTCTTTTGAATGTGGAAATCTATGTTGATCCTGAGGGATCAGACACCAACATTGCTGAAGACTTCATGAGAAACGAAGACATTTTTGGAGAAATGACAGAGACTAGCTTTGCCGCTATGGAATGGAAGAGGTTAAGGGAAGAGAGTCTTAAACAATGTATTATGGAGATGTTGTGTCCTTACTTTGCTAAGGAAACGTACGAGGTTTTGCTTGATGAGGCTAAGAAGCATGTCATGAGGGTAGGTTTGAAGTTTGAAGGAAAGCAATAGATCTTTGTTTGGTATAAAAATGAATTTTCTAGGAATGTCGATCAAAACTGGAAACAACCTTGATGGTAGGAAGATACCAAAAGACAGTCAGATACGATCATGATGACGATGAAGAGCGAGAACATACTCGAGATGTACGCATTGTTTGTATCGCACCAACGGCCGAATTCAGCGGAGAAAGTCAAGCTGTATGTCTGGATGAGAATGGACTAATGGTCGATCATTGTCCAGTCACGTTTCATTCAAAGTTCAGGAATGAGGGGGTACGTTTATAATTTGTTGCGGATGTATGGGCAATTGTAACTTAAATTTGAAAACTGCTTTGACTTTTCATGAAAAGGTTTGCCTTGATAAGTTTTTTTGGTTCTTGGCAAATTTTAAAATTTTAGGTAATAAATTTTATTTTCAGGTCAATTGGGACGTGTCATTGAGGGCATTTGTAGCGATGGTCCGAAAACATCGACCTCATGTGATAGCTATAGCTGGCACCGACTTGCGAAGTATTGGCTTAAAACGAGATCTGGAACGACATATAGATGAAGCAGTTAACGATGATCGTCTCGATGTGAAAGTGCCAGTCGAAATAGTATCAACTGAAACTGCGAAAATCTACTGCAACAGCAAAACTGGCAGGGTAAGGCGATTTAAATGGTATTTTTAAAGCTTTGTTTTAAGTCAAAAAGTGTATTAATGATCTTTCTGTGTTGCTAATATACTTTTCTTCTATAAAGCTGTTTTTTTCAAATAAATTGATATTAAGCATACTTTTTTTCAGGAAGAATTCCCACACCAACACCCGAACACCCGCTTAGCTATCTCAGCAGGCAGATGTCTACTAGACCCTCTACTCGAATATGCAAGGCTATTCAACAAAGAAAACGACTATCTCAGCATAAAACTACACCCATTACAAGGCGAACTACCTGAACGTGATCTCAGCTGGGCGTTCCAACGAGAATTTGTAAACCGAGTCAATGAAGTAGGAGTAGACATCAACTACTGTATCGAATTCCCACATACGAATGGTGTAATGCAATTTGTTTGTGGATTCGGGCCAAGGAAAGCCGAACATGTCATGCAGCTTTTGGAACATCAGGGATTAGTACTGGACGCGAGGTGGGTTTTTGGATAATATTGTAGTACTTACCTGAATTTTTGGTTGATTTAAGGAGGTTTTTTGTTGTTCTAAATCTGTTTTTGCTGTTGTATCAATTGAAAGAGAAGTATCTAACAAGAGTTTTATAATTTTCATTTTTTAGGTCTAAACTGGTCACGTTATGCTCGCTAGGACCAACAATATTTATCAATTCAGCCGGTTTCATCAAGATTGATATCGAGAAAGTCCGCGACACGGCTGATGATTACGTCGAGCAGCTGGACGGTTCTAGAGTACATCCAGAAACGTACGAATGGGCTAGGAAAATGGCCATGGATGCGTTAGAGTACGACGAAACAAATGATCCAGCAAATGCTATTGATGATGTTATTCAACAACCTGACCGATTAAAAGAATTAGATTTGGATGCGTTCGCTGAAGAATTGGCTAGACAAGGCTTTGGAGACAAACAAGTCACCTTGTATGACATCAGAGCCGAATTGAACAACAGATATGCCGATTTGAGAGAACAATACCAGTCGTTACAGGGAATGGACTTGTTCAAGATCTTGGTCCTTAATCCAGAATACTATGCCGAAGGTAGGATTTGAAAAAAATATGTTTTAATTGCTCTTACAGCACTAGAAAGTTTAAAAATACAAACATTCGTAATTTAGGTAACAAAAATAGTTTTTTAACCATATTTTAATTTTTCAGGCAAGCTGGTGTCAGGCCGAGTCCAACGTGTCCAAATGAAGAGGGGAGACCCGGATCGACCAGAACTCGACCCAACAGATCCTCGAAATCAAGTTGGAGTACGAGTAATGTTGGACGAAGGAGTCAGTGGCTTCATTAGACGCAAAGACTGCTCGGATGATCCGGATTCGATACGAGACCTTAATGATGTCTTCAAACCTCAGATGCCGATCATTTGCAAAGTCATCCAATTCAATGACAACAACTTTTCGTGCAACTTGAGCTGCAAAGGCTCTGATCTAAAGTCGGCCCAACCAGTCATGGACGAATGTTTCGACCAAGAACGATGTGATGCTGATAACAAGAAGTTGGAGATGAAGAAGAGCATGAATACCTTTAAAACAAGGTTTGTGAAAAGAGTCATCTCACATCAGGCTTTTCACAATGTCACACATGCTGATGCTGAACGCATGTTGAAGACCATGAATCAAGGAGAAGCGATCATCAGACCATCCTCGAAGAGTATGAATCACTTGACGGTAACATGGAAAGTGGCAGAAGGTGTATATCAACATGTTAACATTGAAGAAAGCAAGAAAAAGCATTACTTCAACTTGGGAAAGGTGTTGACGATCAACGGTGAGGTAGGTATTTTTGTTTTTTAAACATAGACGTCGTTGTGATTTAGTTTTAAGATGCAAACAAGATTTTTTTGCGTTTATCTGTAGCTATCACGTAATCTATACTTTACTTCAGTCATACGAAGATCTGGATGAAATCCTGGCCCGTTTTGTCACACCAATGGCAGAATACGCACGTGAAGTCCTGAACCACAAATACGCGTTGGACTGTATCTTTGAAGACAGTAAAGCCGAGATCGAAGCCAATATCAAGGCCCAAAGAGAACAGGCTCCATCAAGAATCCCATACGTCTTCACAGTGTCCAGAGAATACCCAGGAAAGTTTGTCATATCGTACCAACTAAGGAAGTCTCTACACGAATACTTTACTGTAATGCCGGAAGGGATACGATTCAGAAAGCTGAGGTTCCCACAGTTCGAATCCATGATCAACTGGTTCAAGCTGCACTATAGAGAACCACCACCGAGGTAATGCAGCTCAGGATAAGAGAGGTTGGGCTGCGGAATGGTATTGGGTTGAAGAAGGTGGCTACGGAACGGTTGAAGTTTTGGGCTTCAATATTATTGGTATTTGAGATACAGTAACATTGGAGTAATGTAGCTTTTCGTGAATTCACTCCAAGTACTTTAGCCTTCCGTAAATCCACTGAATTTGTTTCAAAGTCTTATTTATTACTTATTTGTTCTCAGTTGATTTGTTGATCTATCTCATCTTTATTTACGTTTTCTTATTCTTTGTTATACTCATTTGTAGATACAGTTAAATTAATATGCACTTGCTCGTTGAACTAAATATTTTTTGTTTAAAACAACGTTAATAAACTTTGTAATAATAATTTTGAGTTTATTTGTTTTACAGTGATTTGAGCTTGCTTAACATAAAATAAACTTAGGACTACATACTATGATATACAAATATATAAAAAATACTATATTACTATAAAAATGAAAATAGTTATACCGACTACAATATAATGAAACAATTTTGATTTACCGCAAACTTATGTAAAAAATTTATTTATTAATTGGTTTTATTATCAGAAGTCACATTATTATAGCCTAGAATAAGTAAAATTAGTTAAATTTACCGGTTTGAGCCTCCTCTATGGCCTTGCTCAATTTGGCTTCTATTAGACTGATGTCATACTCATTTTGGCTTGTTCTCTTGTGAACTACAATATAACGATCCAGATGAAGTCGAGCATCTTGTAAATACAACATTCGTTGATTCAAGCTACTACTGGCTTCTCGCGCTCGTTCTATCATGTAATCAATACGAAGCAGAGGTGTTACTGTTGGATTTGATTGGCCTTTCATGCCTAAAAAAGTCGTCATAATATCAAATGATTTTGAAGAAATAATAATCTATAGTAGACCCTTAAAAAATTTTAAACAACAACTTACTGATAACTAACGTTTCTTTTAATTTACCTTGACATCGAAGAATTTCTTCAAAAAATTTTCTTTAGTTTACTGACAGCCGGATGTTGGTTTAGCTTTGTAAAAACAACTAAAAGTGTCACAAAATAACTTAGAATTCCGTGACACTTATGCTTAAATTAATTAAATTATTTTTAATTTCCTATTGCGTCAGTGCCACGCAAAAAACGTTTTTTGGAGTTGTGTTTCTTCCCATTTGCGTGTATTACATCTGTTTTTTTTTGTATTTTCTTATATATGTCACTATTATTAAATCTTAATTTACTTTTCTTTATCACTGTAAAAAAGTTGTATGTAAAGATAAAAGTTTTTGCCATGTCAGCCGGAGAAGAAGGGAACAGGACCTTCGTCCCGAAAAATTACAAAAAATTTAAGCAAAGATTCAAAAGTGACAAGAACAATTACTTGACATTCACTATTAAACTATGTTATATGGAGCCTTGGAAAGAAAATTTACGGTTAGAAGCAGCACCTTGTATTATATTTCAGCGGCTGAACTCCATCACTCATTATTATTAGATTATGATAATATGTTTCACCAAAAACAATCAATACTGTAACCTAACACCCTAGTTTTGTGTGTATATAGTAAACAATATCTCTATCAAATAACAAAGATTTGAATAATTTTCCAATTTTGTGTTATCAGACACTCTAATCCTGTCATAATCAAACCTTAATCAATAACTTTATCAAAATATGCATAAATGGTTTGCCTACAAGTCCCATAAATCCTAATCAATTGGCTTTGATCAGTAATCAGACAGATTAAAACATTACTATATAAACCAATCACTGAGACAGTAAACTTCGTCATTTCGATTCATTCGAAAGCCTAAACCTAAAAATGAAGTGTGTTCTGATGCTGAGCTTCTTGGCCCTTTGTTCTGGCCAAGATGTCACCCTTCCATCTGGTAATCCACTCGCCCCAGTGATCGCTACACTCAACGACATTCTATCTGGAGCTAGTCTTCCAACGATCGACCCAGAAGCCATCACTTTGCCAGCTGGAGTATCCCTGCCTGCTGGAATATCTCTGCCAGCCGGAATATCCCTCCCAAGTGGACTTGGTGCCGTTTCAGACCTACCTCTGTCAGCTGTGTCACTTCCAGCTGGAATGTCAGCTCCAAGCCTTGGCGGTGTATCTCTTCCAGTATCGGCTCCAAGCATCCCTGGAGTGTCAGATCTTCCAACCTTGGGCAGAAAGAAGCGTCAAGCAGATCCATCAGTGGCCTCGATTATCGCTGAACTGAACTCCATTTTGAGTGCGATCAGTCTGCCAACCATCGATCCTAACGCTGTGACCCTGCCAGTATCTCTTCCAGCTGGTATTACCCTCCCAAGCATCAGTGGAGCCTCTTTTCCAGTATCTCTACCTGGCCTTGATGGAGTATCGCTTCCAAGTGTTAATGGAGTATCTCTCCCAGTGACAGTACCAAGCGTTGGCGATGTATCTCTTCCAGTTTCAGCTCCAAGCCTCCCTGGAGTCTCCGATCTTCCTCTCCGTGCCAAGCGTCACTTTTAAAGTGGCCAAGAGCTTTACCATCAAGCATCAGCCTTTGCATCCACAACATTGTTTGGATCTTTTGATGTTGCACTTTGTTTTTACGCTTTGTAATTTGAAAGCCCTCTTTATTATATTGTAAGCGGCTTGTGCAATTTTTAATTGAAATAAATTCAGCATCAAAACATTGAGAAATTAAATTATAAAACTAAAAAACAATTGTTCCAAATGATGGAACTATATGAAAAACATGCACAATATAATATATACCATCAAAAATCTTGTACAAAGCCTTGTATTATAAAGTATTTATTAATCAATCAAGTCCTAACCAGGCTTTCAATTAAACTGCCCAAATTTTTCGATAAACCAGCCTACAATAATATAAAACTGACCTATTCTCCAAACGTAAAAGCCATAGCATGAAACCAAAAAATAACACTGTTGGCAATTTTTATATGATAACATAATGAAACATATATCTGATCCAAAAACGAAGAGAATTTTTTTCAGACTGTCGATTAACGTGCTCGAGGCGGGTTTGGGCGAAAAGCCAGAGTGTTCAGGGTCTTCGTGGCGGGAGACAAAGCTGGGCAACGTGCCAATGTACAGAAACGGAATGTGATTAGTTGGCAGATTGAATCCTTATACAAAGATAAAAAAGCTTGACTTTGTAGTTATTTATCTACTTTTTTAATTTTACAAACATTTTTGTTGTTTTCTAAAAACTCCACAAAAAAATACGCAGCTTGATTTATTCCAATAAAAATTAACAATGAGGCCACTTCCATTAAAAATATGAGGGCCTGAACTAAACAAAACTGTCTTAATTACAACATTGAATTTTTATGGAAGAGGGATTAGAGGGATGATGCCGAAACTTCTTAGACGTGACGCGCGGCACGAAGAGGAACGTCTGATACTCCAGGAAGGCTTGGAGCTGATACTGGAGCAGATACTCCGCCAACGCCTGGCAGAGACACTGGAAGAGATACTCCACCAATGCTCGGAAGTGTGATGCCGGCTGGTAGAGATACTCCGGCTGGCAAAGTGACACTGTTTGGATCAATGTTTGGTAGACCCAAAGCACTCAAAAGGTAGTTGATCTCAGCAAGAATCTCCTCGAGGGTTGACTCAGCCTGACGCTTCTTTCGGCCGCCAACTGGAAGGTCGGACACTCCTGGAAGGCTTGGGGCTGAAACTCCACCTGGGAGTGACACACCACCTGGTAGAGATACTCCGTCAACTGTAGGTATACTAGGAATAGATACTCCTTGTGGCAGGGTGATTGGGTCGACAGCTGGAATACCTAGGATGGCCAAGATTCTGTTCAGATCGGCAATCACTTGGCTGAGTAGATCAGCCGATGGAAGGGTGACAGGCAGTTCTTGGCTAGCACAGACGGCCAAGAAGCTCAACACTAGAATAAACTTCATTTTCGTTGTTTTTTGCTTTCGAATGAATCGAAATGACGAAGTTTACTGTGTCAAAGTTTGGCTTATATACTAAAAACTTAAGCTGGTTAAATCGTTGATCAGGGCATAGTTAGGTTGATTATGCAAGAAAGTTGAAAAACAAGTTGCGAAAATGACAGTTGATGTCGACAAAGTATGTCAGATAAGCATAATTTAGGAGCAGGAGGCGTGTATTGTGACAGGATTTTTATTATGTTGTTTAAATAATTTTGTTCCCTTTCATAAAGCAAGTTTTTTGGAATTAGGGAGCACAGAATTATTTGAACAACCAAGTAGAAAAAACTAAAAAAAATAGTTAGAAAAACAGCTTATGAGTATGCTTGTTTCCAAATAACTGTATAGTGTTTAAAAATATCTAACTGACAATTTGTGAGTAAAAAACATTAATGTGTAATTCAATCTGCCAACTAAACACATTCCGTTTCTTTACATTAGCACGTTGCCCAGCTTTGTCTCCCGCCACGAAGACCCTGAACACTCTGGCTTTTCGCCCAAACCCGCCTCGAGCACGTTAATCGACAGTCTGAAAAGATTTCTCTTCAGTGACCCGTTGTTTTTGGATCAGATATATATTTCATTATGTTATCATATAAAAATTGCCAACAGTGTTATCTTTTTGTTTCATGCAGTGTTTGCATGGGCTCCGGAGCTAAAACTTGAAAATGGGTCGGAGCCGGAGCTGGAGCTCAGTTTTTTTGGCACGGCTTCGAACATTTTTTTATTTGTTAAAATATTTTGAATTGATAAATATATGAGTCTCACAGCGAAAACTAATAATCGCTAAAAGTATTGGCATTGTACAAAAACAATATTTTTTATTTCAAAAATTTGTTTTTCCCCAAAATTCAAAACACGGAGAGTCGGAAAAGGAAACTTGACAATGAATTTACTTTCAACAAAGAAGACGTTAAGAAGTACATTGTTAACGGGAAATGCAAGCTCTGCAATGTCGAACTGGGATCAAAGACGTCAAACGTAAATCGTCATTTCAATCGAAAACACTTGGAAGAATTCAGTGAAATCATAAAAGGAAAAACTGCAATACAGCCTACGATTACCACCGCATTTTCTCAAAAAGGAGCATCAGATCGTGCATTGAAAGCCTTAACGTACTATGCAGGAACTACAGGCTTTCCATTAAACCATTTGCAAGATCCACACTTTAAAGTAAGTTACATATAAAGTTTAATAAGGTGAATTTTTAGGCACTTATGAGTTTAATTCCTAATTTTAAATTGCCGAGTAGGCTTACTCTTAAAAATTTAATGGAAGATGAGGTAACGAAATTCTCGACAAAGATAAGGACACTGGTTGGAGACAGACATTTTTCAATTTCTTGTGTCATTGCTACCGCCATTTCAAACTCCCATTCGGTCATGGGAATATTGATACATGAAAAGAAAAAATCCTTAAGGGTTGCTGCACTTGATGTTGTGCACTTTGCCGTAAAACATACAGCCAAAAATATCAGAGAGTGCATAATAAACAGCATCACAAATTTTGGTTTGAGCCCACAAAGGGTATGAGAATGGTTTCTGATGGAGCGTCGAGCATGAGAGCGGCTTTTAGGTATATTTTAAAACATTAATAACATTATAATTAAATTTGACTTCCATACTTTGTGTAAATGTATATTATGTTATGTTAATTTACGTAGTTTAGAGAAAATTTCGACGAAGGTGAAATTATGGTTGTTGATTCCGGAGAGGAAAATGTAGATAATGAAGACAATCTATCAGTAGAGACATTAGCTACGAATGAAGATACTGACTACGGCATAGAAGAAAGATCTATTGATAATGCTTCAGATGGTGCAGAAAACTTTAATTTATGGTGCGCTTGCCATAGACTTAATTTGGTGGTTAAGGAACTTTTGAAAGAGAAAAATGTAGAGTCGATGAGAATGGTAAAATTTTCTGTAGTTTTATTGTTTATTATGCTTTAGAGGGTATTCAGAGTGGTCAACAAGTTTTCTCGCTCTCCAGCTGTATGTTATGCGTTAAAGCAGAGAGCTGGAAAAGGACTTTTATTTCCTGTTAATACTCGATGGCTGTCTATGATTTTGTCAATGGAACGGATCTGTCAGATCGTAAGGTACGTGAACGAGATTGCCGAACTAGAAGGATACGATACAATTTCTGATAAAGACGTTAAACTCATGACAGAACTTGTTAATCTGCTCGGTCCTATTCGGGAGCTCATTTTACAACTCCAAACAAAACCGAATGGAATCCCACGACAATCTGATCTTACTATATCAGTCCTTGCTGTTGCTATACCAGCTTTAGTAGAAACGTACCAGGTACTTAATATTGCTTAAAATATACTTATTTTTTTGTAATTTTTAATGAAACTGCATTCAGAGATGGACTAACCAAAAAGTACTAGCCAAGAAATTAGTTCAATTTATACAGAGTCGTTTTGACGACATACTACACAAAAACGACCCTGTTTATATTGTCGGAAGAACTGCCGACATTCGCGGATTCCACACAGCTACGACAGACAAAGATAGGACGTTAACATCAATCAAGCAATTTGTATGTTTTCTTTAATGTTTTGTATTATTATACATATACCATGTCATTTTAAATGTATTTTTAGGCTACACAAATTAAATTGTTAGAAATTGACGACATACCACAACGACCGTCTTCACAAATGACAAATGCTCAAGGATTTGGTCTATCCTTTGTTACGGATGTTGATGAAGACACCGTGACCACAGAACGACACGAAGGCACGACAATTGATGCTGAGTTTGAAAGCTTTTTGATAGAAGTAGTGAAAGGTTCTTACAACAATTGGGATAGTTCAATATCGTTTTGGATTGATAATGAACAAGTATGCATAAATTTGATGTTTATATAATTTTAGAAATGGCCGAGACTATCTGCCATTTCACTTGCTGCACTCACCGTACCAGCAGCTTCAGTCAATGTGGAGCAATTCTTTAGCAGATTGCAAGCCGTAACTCAGTCAAATTTCTGCAACTCAAAACATGCGTTGATCCGACAAAAAATGTTGATGGGATTCAACAGTCCGTACTCAGAGTAAAGTTTCTCTTTGTTTTGTTACATTTTTTTGTTATAATGATATATTTTTTATAATAAATATAGTTAAATTTTACAAAAGACGTCAATAACTCCAAATTTAAAGGTTTTTAATAATTTTTTGTTGAAAATCTGACCCGGAGCCGGAGCTGGCAAAAATAAGGGCTCCGGAGCCCGGAGCCGAGCTCACTTTGAATAAAAGGTCGGAGCCGGAGCCGGAGCTGGAGCCAAAAATTTAAAAAATGCAAACACTGGTTTCATGCTATGGTTTTTACGTTTAGAGAATAGGTCAGTTTTATATTATTGTAGGCTGGTTTATCGAAAAAGTTGGGCAGTTTAATTGAAAGCCTGGTTAGGACTTGATTGATTAATAAATACTTTATAATACAAGGCTTTGTACAAGATTTTTGATGGTGTATATTATATTGTGAATGTTTTTCATATAGTTCCATCATTTGGAACAATAGTTTTTTAGTTTTATAATTTAATTTCTCAATGTTTTGCTGCTGAATTTATTTCAATTAAAAATTGCACAAGCCGCTTACAATATAATAAAGAGGGCTTTCAAATTACAAAGCGTAAAAACAAAGTGCAACATCAAAAGATCCAAACAATGTTGTGGATGCAAAGGCTGATGCTTGATGGTAAAGCTCTTGGCCACTTTAAATGTGACGCTTGGCACGGAGAGGAAGATCGGAGACTCCAGGGAGGCTTGGAGCTGAAACTGGAAGAGATACATCGCCAACGCTTGGTACTGTCACTGGGAGAGATACTCCATTAACACTTGGAAGCGATACTCCATCAAGGCCAGGTAGAGATACTGGAAGAGAGGCTCCACTGATGCTTGGGAGGGTAATACCAGCTGGAAGAGATACTGGCAGGGTCACAGCGTTAGGATCGATGGTTGGCAGACTGATCGCACTCAAAATGGAGTTCAGTTCAGCGATAATCGAGGCCACTGATGGATCTGCTTGACGCTTCTTTCTGCCCAAGGTTGGAAGATCTGACACTCCAGGGATGCTTGGAGCCGATACTGGAAGAGATACACCGCCAAGGCTTGGAGCTGACATTCCAGCTGGAAGTGACACAGCTGACAGAGGTAGGTCTGAAACGGCACCAAGTCCACTTGGGAGGGATATTCCGGCTGGCAGAGATATTCCAGCAGGCAGGGATACTCCAGCTGGCAAAGTGATGGCTTCTGGGTCGATCGTTGGAAGACTAGCTCCAGATAGAATGTCGTTGAGTGTAGCGATCACTGGGGCGAGTGGATTACCAGATGGAAGGGTGACATCTTGGCCAGAACAAAGGGCCAAGAAGCTCAGCATCAGAACACACTTCATTTTTAGGTTTAGGCTTTCGAATGAATCGAAATGACGAAGTTTACTGTCTCAGTGATTGGTTTATATAGTAATGTTTTAATCTGTCTGATTACTGATCAATGCCAATTGATTAGGATTTGTGGGACTGTAGACAAACAAATTATGCATATTTTTGTTATTGTCGACAGTATTTTGTAGATTTACATAAATTTGTAAAAACAAAGCCTGGCGGACATTTATTTTTAAAAACCATATTATGGGTAGGAGAAAGTCTATTTTTATCCTTCTTCATCTCCTTCTCCAGCAGAAACATAATTCTCAAGAACGCTGAACGTTACTTTTCTGTTAATTTTTGTGAAAAACGTTTTAAAAAATTGGCACAAACAGCTAAACCGTTAGCGTAACTAAAAGTTAGTGTAAGATCAAATTCGTTCGCCCGACTATGATAAAGTTACGTTTCTTACAATTAGCGTGCTAATTATAGGCCTGCTAAGTAGGTTTAAAAGGGTGCCTACTCAACAGGATCAAAGCAAATTTGAAAAGGGACGGGCCGTTACGTACCCGTGACCCCCCCCCCCGCCCCCGCGGGGGCGAGCAAAATACCCGCGCTCGGGTACGGGTATTCCAAAAGGTTAAAAAAGGGGTTAGTGATTTTTCGGGGAATGCAGTTTCGGTGAATGCATTTTCGGGGAAGACTTTTGGAGAAAGACTTTTCGGGGAATGGTGTCATAGAAACGTTCATGGTACGATCGATGTTAACGTTAACAATACTTAATAAAGGCAAATGTGATTCAGTCAGTGAGTGTAATGTGATTCGGTCATATTAAAATTTTTATATTATTTAAAAAAATTGATAAAATTTAAAAAATTCAGAAAAAAAAATTAAATTTTACTCTAGGACGTCTTTTTTTAAAAATGATTTCAAAGATGACGAGGAAACAGACGAATTTGCAGACGAAGATTAAGTAAACTTACTTTTTTGTGTTTTAAATGTTTTGATTTATAAAGTGGTTATTTGTTTATGAAAATTGTTTAGTGCGTTAAACGTTTTGACGAAAAATACTTTTTTTTTAAAAAAAATAGTAAAAATTCTGGCATTTATGTATATTTTGGCGAAATTATATTCACACCCGTACCCCCCCCGCGGGTACGGGGTGTGAGTCTCATCCTCGCCTCATACCCGCGGGTATTAAAATTTGGATTTTTTCGCGGGGGCGACGGGTGCTGGTATGGCAAATACCCGCACCCGCAGAACACTACCTGTTACACTACTAATTGAAATGAAAGCAAGTGGTCTTGGTCAGTAACTGAAGGGTTTTCAGATTGCCTTACTTTCTACAGCGGCTTCTAATAGTTTTCATATACATATTACTAATTGTTGAAAGAAAATAAAGTTTTTGCCATTTCGTGTTTTTCCTTGGCATTGACTATTGTTTGCTTTTTAATAGAAGATCAGCTGATGCAACAATAATTTATGAGTTTGAGTTGTCAAAGGTCTGGCAACTTAAAAGTCTGACAGTGAATTAATATGCACTTTAAAGTTTTCTTATTATTAGTAAGTTTTGTCTCTGGTGAACTCCGTAACGGCATAAAAAGTTTGCTTTTTTAAATGCATAACGTTTTGCTTTTTTTACAGACTTACTTATTTATCGTTTTATCATGTCATATGATTCTAGTATTAAATGTTAATGTTTTTACGTAGTTAAGATAAATTTGCTTAATCAACATAGTTCACATATATAACTCATAAATTTATGCTGCTCGTTTTATTCCAATAAAAATTGACAATGTAGCCGCTCACGTTAAAAACATAAGGGCTTTAAATTAAACAAACTAACAGTAAATTGTAACACTCATTAAAATAAAGAGTTACAACACTGTAAATCTATTCATGATTACAATATTGGATTTTCATGGAATAGTGATTAGAAGGCTGATTCTTGATGACAAAGCTCTTGACCATTTTAAATGTGACGCTTGGCACGAAGAGGAAGATCGGAGACTCCAGGGAGGCTTGGTGCTGAAACTGGAAGAGATACATCACCAACGCTTGGTACTGTCACTGGGAGAGATACTCCACCAACACTTGGAAGCGATACTCCATCAAGACCAGGTAGAGATACTGGAAGAGAGGCTCCACTGATGCTTGGGAGGGTAATACCAGCTGGAAGAGATACTGGCAGGGTCACAGCGTTAGGATCGATGGTTGGCAGACTGATCGCACTCAAAATGGAGTTCAGTTCAGCGATAATCGAGGCCACTGATGGATCTGCTTGACGCTTCTTTCTGCCCAAGGTTGGAAGATCTGACACTCCAGGGATGCTTGGAGCCGATACTGGAAGAGATACACCGCCAAGGCTTGGAGCTGACACTCCAGCTGGAAGTGACACAGCTGACAGAGGTAGGTCTGAAACGGCACCAAGTCCACTTGGGAGGGATATTCCGGCTGGCAGAGATATTCCAGCAGGCAGGGATACTCCAGCTGGCAAAGTGATGGCTTCTGGGTCGATCGTTGGAAGACTAGCTCCAGATAGAATGTCGTTGAGTGTAGCGATCACTGGGGCGAGTGGATTACCAGATGGAAGGGTGACATCTTGGCCAGAACAAAGGGCCAAGAAGCTCAGCATCAGAACACACTTCATTTTTAGGTTTAGGCTTTCGAATGAATCGAAATGACGAAGTTTACTGTCTCAGTGATTGGTTTATATAATAATGTTTTAATCCGATAAGATTGTTAATCAACCCAATTTATTAAAATTTATGTGTTATAGGAAAAACAGTGATTAGTATAGACAGAAATAACGTTTTTTTTGTCTACAGCGTTACTTGGATATACATAAATTTGTAATATCTGTATAGTATATATACAGACAAGGCCATAGTTTGCTTTAGTTTAAAAAAGAAAAGTATGGGATGCTGAAAAATAGAGGTAAAGGATTGAAAACTACTTGTACATATACGTTGGGTTATTTATTTTTTGCTCATTGTAAAGGAGTTTTGTTATAGAGGAGTTTTAAATTAACATACAGTGCCACAAATCTTTATTTAGTTAAAATATTATGGTTTATGAAAGAGTAACTGGAAGGTCTGATGGTACTTCAACACTCGGTGTTGAAACGCTCGGTTCATTATTGTCATTTAATCCAAGCAATGACTTCAAAAGGTCTATAATTTCTTGTAAAAACGTGCCAAGTGAAGGTACTGGACCGCCAGTCACATGACGTTTAGCACGAAGAGGAACTTCAGATACTCCAGGAAGGCTTGGAGCTGATACTGGAGCAGATACTCCGCCAACGCCTGGCAGAGACACTGGAAGAGATACTCCACCAATGCTCGGAAGTGTGATGCCGGCTGGTACAGATACTCCGGCTGGCAAAGTGACACTGTTTGGATCAATGTTTGGTAGACCCAAAGCACTCAAAAGGTAGTTGATCTCAGCAAGAATCTCCTCGAGGGTTGACTCAGCCTGACGCTTCTTTCGGCCGCCAACTGGAAGGTCGGACACTCCTGGAAGGCTTGGGGCTGAAACTCCACCTGGGAGTGACACACCACCTGGTAGAGATACTCCGTCAACTGTAGGTATACTAGGAATAGATACTCCTTGTGGCAGGGTGATTGGGTCGACAGCTGGAATACCTAGGATGGCCAAGATTCTGTTCAGATCGGCAATCACTTGGCTGAGTAGATCAGCCGATGGAAGGGTGACAGGCAGTTCTTGGCTAGCACAGACGGCCAAGAAGCTCAACACTAGAATAAACTTCATTTTCGTTGTTTTTTGCTTTCGAATGAATCGAAATGACGAAGTTTACTGTGTCAAAGTTTGGATTATATACTAACCGGTTCGCGTGATAAGCTTGTTGATAAGAGTTCCTTTACTGTAGAATGATGTTAAGTGGCAAAATGAATGGAAAAGTTATTCAAATCTGTTATTTGATGTCAATTTTGTTTTTATATAAACACAAGCAATTTATTTCATCAAGTTACAAAGTCAAACATATTTACTAGCGACCTTCTGCATGATATCGATAAGACCGGTGTATAACTCGAAACAGTCCAAAGCACCGTATCTTTGGTAACGTAGCTGACGAATGGATTCACTAAAGCGGATTCTCTTTTTGGTTTCCAAACGTTCCGTTTCAGTTTCCATAATGTACCAGACTCCACTACGTTTGGCACCATTTTTGCAAATCACAAGGGAAGCGGCTTCTCTGGCTGGTACGGTGGGACATTTCTTTTGGACCTAAGATTGTAAAATGTCATTTTTTAAAAGAGTAGAACAAGGCAAAGTAAATAAGAGTAGGTTAGTGTAAGATAGGATACAGTAAGATAAGGTAAAGCAGGATAAGGCAGAGTAGGGTACAGTAAAGAAGAGTGAATTAGGATAAAGTAGGGTAAAGAAAGATTGGGTAAGACACATGATGATGACCTATATTAACTTACAAACTCTTTGAATTCCATTAAATCACCCGGTAGTTTCTTGTCATCAGTCCATGTTGACATGTAGAACACATTGGCCTTCGAAACTCCGCTTTTGCCTCCAGACACCGCCAGTTTAACGTGACGATACTTGGACTTGTTTTCTTCTTCGACTTTAAACTTGATACCACCACAAGTCTTTTCCCCTTTGCCTTCTGGACAAACGGACCTAGAGACGTTAAATTGTATTATAAAAAGCAAGATCAATATCTTTAGTTTATCATACAAAACCACTTACTTTCCCTCATTCGATTCCTCATTCATAAGCATGACAATGACTTCTGGCTTCAGTTGTGACACCAATCGATGAAAATCGGCTTCAGTTTCCTTCGAAAATGGAGCTTGTGCCAAAACGTACTGTTTCGGCGTACTGAGACCGTCGACATAGCTGGCATGATAATAATCACCACCAGAAGGTTCAGTCAGCACAACACGACTGTAGTCATTCAGTAAAGTCTTCTGATTCCGATTTCTGGTAGTATTTTTGTCGTTGAAGAACTCGAAGTACGTTGGAGATTCACGGCAAATGTCGACAAACGCTGCTTGAATACCTTCGTGAATTGGCTTTTTGTTCTCGGTCAACTAAAAAATTATGCTATAGTATGTTATAAATACCCTAACCTACTCTACCCTACCTTATCCTACATTACCTTACAATAAATATCAAAAACTGTTTAAATTACCCATTCTTTAACCTTATTTTACCTCATAACCTATTAAATATCGACTTACATACTGAACCAGCATCATGGGATGAAAGAATCTGGACTTTTGTTTTCGCATTGATCGTTGAGAGATTTTGCCAGCATTGACAACAGAAGTTGTCCCGTCCTTCTTCTTGATAACATCCATCTCTATTTGAATCACAAAGTCCTATCTGACAGTTGTAGAAAAATACCGACCAGACGGTTGAGACAGTTAAAAAAATACCGAAAAAATTTTGAAATTATTTTTTAAAAATTAAAATTTAACTTTGTTATCTTTATTTTGTGTGAAATAATCTCAAATTTGCATAATTTAAAAAATTTTTTTTTAAATTGTACTCCCTACTGTAACAAAAAATATAAGGTCATCAAACCATGTTCAATGTCATCAAAGTAAAGAAAAGCTAACATGAATACAAATAGTTTATTGTCAATGTCTTTCAGATGTTACACATCCCTGAATTGGCTTTAATTTCTTCTAAGTTCGTTGTTCAAGTCCAGTACGATGTGGGTCTTGTCTGTGAGAGCGGCATCTTTTACCGTCTTTTTGGCCAAAGTCTTCAAGTTCATGTACTCAAACTTGATTTTGGATTTTTCTGGAAATAACAAAAGTAATACCGTATTATGGTTTTACCTTAACATACTTTATAGCATGTATAATAAGTAATAGCTCTTCATTTTTCCACAACCTTAAGCTAAAAAAAGTTAAAAAAACAGTACTTGTTTGGTACTTCAATTAGAACCATCTATGTAAATCAATTAAAAAATCGGGTTACTGTATTCTTAGAGGAGAAACTAAAAATATTACTATCTGGAAAACAATTTGCTATCAAACATACCACTTTCAACTCTGATAAAGATACCAATCGACGACGGAGTTCTGTTTTTGTCCACTTTCAAAATTTGCATAATGGCGTTAATCATATCTGGCAAAACACAGACTTTAGGTATGTTGATGGACTTGGTGATCGAGTTTGCGCCGTAAATCGAACAAAACAGTCGGATCTCGTCCTTCATCTTAAAATTGTGGTAATAGATTGGGCATAACATTAATCTATGTAGCGTTAGGTATTGTTTTAGGCTTGATGAAACAAAAATTTAAAAAAATATTCAAATTTTAAAAACACAAAAATTTAAGGCTGTGCTTTATATAATATAAAACACATACTGCTGGTTTGCTATCGTCTGTGATATCAGGAAGTTTTGAAGACATTCGTTTGAAAACCGGAAACAAATTGATAACCTTTTCACTAACATGAGCAACTTCAGCACGAGTTAACAAATTGGCACATCTTGACATCGGGCATCTTGGCACATCATCTAAAATTCAACAGTATTTGAAAACACCACTTAATTTTTTAATTTTCTTAGTTTTTTTTAACAATAAAAAAATCATAAGGTCCCTTACTCAAAGAATCAGCTGATGACACACTTTTGGCTACACAGTCAAAACAAACACGATGTTGACAGTCAATCATTGTCATCCTGGCTACATTTACACATTGAAACATTCCTCTGACTACTTCACAACTAAAAAAGAAAATTTTATTCAAGAAACCACAAAATTTTATATTAAAAATATTGTACTAGACTAAATACGCAAATTAAAAAAACTAAAACTAATATATTATCTAAAATACTATACAACCCACAAAAATCCCCTACCGCTGCCTTTCCTCTAACTGTAACATATTCGGTGCAAACAGAACCCGTTTATGTCGATCACCATCATCGTCACCACCGGCCGATTCATCGTTATCATCCACCTCGTCCACCATTACCTCCAAATTCCTCATTGTCCCACAACCAGGCACAGGACATGTCCCCAGGTTACTTGACAAACTCAGGCATGTCAAACAGAAACGGTGCTCACAACTCAACTGTTGCGAATCCTGAATTGCGTAGCGCTCCAAACAGATAGGACACTTGACTTGGGTCAGTTGAGCCAGGGACGATGACATTCTACACAATGCTTCTTGACCAATAAAATTTGAAAACTTATAACTGCCAATTTGGGTGCCGGAAACGACTGCTCGGCGTTTGAAAAAGGGTTGAAACTGATTAAAAATGGCAAAGTTTGAGTTGAAATTTTTTAAACTGAAATTTCTCAATAATTTTAGACAAAATTCATGTAAAATTTGAAATTTATAAAGCAAACATGCTTTACAATGTTAGTATCGTCCTCGTATATCCATAATACTCTCGAAATAAATTTACAAGAAGATTCAACTTTAAATTCCGTTCAAAACTTTCACTTTTCCGCGATATTCTCTCTCTTTGGCCTTCCATCGCAAGTAAAATTTATTTATTTCGAAAAATATTTTTGTTTTTGTTGTCGCGCACTTTCTTGGCCTTCAACATGAAGTAAGTGAATAAAATTAACTTATTAACGTAAATTTTAGGCTTAACATAAATGGGCTCAACGTATATTTTCCATATGAACATATCTATCCGGAACAGATATTGTACATGGGGGAAATCAAGAAATCTCTGGATGCGAAGGTATTTTATCAACTTTTATAAGTTTAGTTTGATTTTTAGGGCCACTGTTTGTTGGAGATGCCTTCTGGAACTGGAAAAACAGTATCTTTGTTATCTGTTGTCTTGGCATACATGACACAGTATCCAGACAAGTTGGACAAGTTGATCTACTGTTCTAGAACTATTCCAGAGATTGAGAAATGTGTCGAGGAGTTGAGGAATTTGTTCAGATATTATAAAACAGTTAAAGGGGTAAGTTGAAGGTTTAAATTGATGAATTATAAACTTAACTATGTTACGCAGCTGATGGATAATATTAATTTTGTTATAACTCGTGTTTTTTTTGTATTGAAAGTTACTTTAATGGTTGGAAAAGTTTTTAGAGTACTTTTTATTTTTTGTAATTTATTTTGTTTTTAGAAAGTCCCAGATTTCTTGTGTTTAGCCTTATCAGCAAGAAAGAACTTGTGTATAAAGGAGCCCGTTGCCTCTTTGAGGAATGGATCAGCTGTCGATGGAGCTTGTCAAAATCTTACAGCTTCTTTTATGAGAGCAAAAGCTAAAGTTGATCCAAACGCGCCGTCTTGTGAATTTTTTGAGACATTCAACGAGAACCGAGAGTTGACTTTGCCTAATGGTGTATATAATTTGGTAAGATCTTATTTTATAGTTTTTGTTTTTGTTTTTAGGTAACACTTTATAAATTATTTGAAGCTTTAGATTTGATTAGTATACTGGGTTTAACTACGTTTTCTCGGTCAAATTTTAGTTTACGTTTTTATAGCTAAATTTTTCTGGTTTTAGGCAGATCTCCGCGACTACGGCCGTGAAAAATGTTTATGTCCTTATTTTGTGGCCAGAAAAGCAGTCGCTCAAGCTCAGATCGTCATTTACTCTTACCATTATGTTCTTGATCCAAAAATCGCTGAACTGATTTCCCGAGATTTGAGTCCGAAAAGTTGTGTCGTATTCGACGAAGCCCACAATATTGACAACGTTTGTATCGAGAGTATGAGTGTGACATTGAGTAAGAAACTGATGGACCGATGTGCCAAGAATTTGGATGAATTAGAAACGCATGTCAACAAGATCAAGTAAGTTTAATATCTTATTTTGTGTTTACTGTTTAGGAGAGAGAACAAACAGCGATTGGATGAAGAATATGAAGCATTGGTGAAGAACTTGAAAAGAGTTCACGAAGAACGTAGTATGGAGAATGCTTGGGCAAATCCAGTGCTGCCTGATGCTATTTTGGACGAGGCTATTCCAGGAAGCATTCGGACAGCCGACTACTTTTTGGTATTCTTGAGGAGATTGATGGAATATTTGAGGTGAGGCTTGTTTTCGGATGTTTCAAATGGAACAACTTGTTATGACTTATTACTGAAGCTTTCGAAAAGTTTGTTAAGGAACATTTTATTGTTGTTAACATCAGGGACGTCGCTACGGTTTTTCTCTGGGGGGGGGGAGGTCGAAAAAAATTTTTTTTGGTCCACAGGTAGCTACCTCTGGACCGATTTTTCAAAAAATTTTTTTTTGTTTTTCCGCGTACAGGTACTTACCTGTGGAATTTTTTTCGGATCGGCTCTTAACATCGTTTTTTGCGTTTAAAATCTTGATTTACATCAATTTCAGACACCGAATGAACGCCAGAGCAGTCCAACTCGAAAGTCCGGCTGCTTTCCTTCGTGACATCAAGCAACGAGTCTTAATCGACCGAAAACCTCTTCGATTCTGTGCCGAACGCTTTGCTACACTTGTCAGAACGTTAGAATTGGCAGATGTTTCTGAACTCTCCGCTCTGGTCAAGATGACAAGTTTCGCGACGTTAGTCTCAACGTACGCACGAGGATTCTCGGTTATCGTGGAGCCAGGGGATTTAACCAAAAGCGAAGGTGGAGATGACAAAAAGAAGAATGAAAAGGGCAAAGAGACCAAGGCGCAAATCAGACAAAGGAAGAACAACAGGACACATTACGATTGTTATATTCACCTGAACTGCATGGATGCGTCTGTGGCTATTAAGCCGGTTTTGGATCGGTTTCAAACGGTCATTATTACTTCTGGTGTAAGATTTTTGACTTTTTCGTTCTAAAAGCAATTTTTATTTAAAAAACCTCAATTTAAAAGAAATTTGAAATTAATTTTTGAAAAATATTTTGAAATTTGAATTTTTTAAAATAATTTGCTTTTTCAGACCTTATCACCCTTGGAAATCTACCCAAAAATTCTGGACTTTGATCCAGTGGTTATGGCTTCACTTACCATGACATTGGCTCGACCTTGTATATCCCCATTGATTGTATCTCGAGGCAATGATCAAGTTGAAATGACATCTCGCTTTGAAAGCCGATCTGATCCTTCTGTAATCCGAAACTACGGTAGCTTGATTCTGGAAATGGCTTCGATTATTCCTGATGGAATTGTTGTTTTCTTTACGTCATATACTTTCATGGAGGATATTGTGGCTACGTGGTATGAACAGGTGGGTTTTTGGGGCATAGTATAGCTTTAACATACTATAATGAAGTATTGGGTTGTTCAAATAATTCTGTGATTTTTTCGGATAAAAAAATTTCTGGGGTTAAGGTCTCAGAATTATGTAAACACTCTAATATATTGTACTTTATCTTTTTTTCTAGAGATTCATCGACGTTCTGTTGAAGAAAAAGCTTCTATTCATCGAAACCCGTGATGCTACGGAAACCTCGATTGCTCTACAAAGATACGTTAATGCTTGTGAAACAGGTCGTGGAGCAATTTTGTTTTGTGTGGCCAGAGGCAAAGTCAGCGAAGGAATTGATTTTGCACATCACTTGGGGAGAGCCGTCATCATGGTCGGAATACCATATCAATACACGGAAAGCAGAGTGTTACGAGCACGATTGGAGTATTTGAGGGATCAATTCGATATCAAGTAAGGAGGGTTGGGGTCTTGTACTATGGGCCTTCTATGTTTAACTTAAAATGATGAATATGGCTAGCAGAATTTTAAAAGACTTATATGGGTAATATAATGAACTTTTGGTTTATAAACTAGTGTTGGATAATTTTTACGTTTTTTAATTACAGAGAGAATGATTTCCTGACTTTTGATGCCATGAGGCACGCTGCTCAATGTGCTGGACGAGGCTTGAGAGGAAAGACCGATTATGGACTGATGATCTTTGCTGACAAGGTAATTTAAAGTCATTTTTATTTTTTTTTATTTTAAACGAAGCTTAACTATGAGATATATTATATATTTATAAGTTTAAACGTTTAGGTATAATATAGCTTTTTGTCTACTTCTTCTTTAAAAGATACTAATATCTATATTCATACTATACCGTTAATATAAATTGCTTTACAGAGATACGCCCGTCGCGACAAACGTGAAAAGCTGCCACGCTGGATTCAAGAAAACATCAAAGAATCGGCGGTGAACATCACGGTGGAAGAAGCTACATCAGCAGCCAGAGCCTGGCTTCCGAAAATGGCACAGCCTTTCACAATGGAACATCAGAAAGGAGTGTCATTACTGACACAGGACATGTTGAACGAAGAGGATGGAGTTATGGAAAAGTTCAAATATGTGATTCACGAGATTGAGTAGATGAGTACGTTAATCACGACATTGAGTAGATGTTGGATTTTACGGATTCTTTCTTAATTTTTATGTTTTTTGATTCTATCTTGGTGTTTGGATGGGTTTGTTTTACTTCTAAAAAGGTCTTTGAAGGTTACCGTATCAAGTGGCACAGTATTTTTGACTACCATATTCTCTTACAGTAAAAAATTGTTAAGTTTGAAGGTTTTTGTTGATTTGATTGCTTATATCACTTTTATATTGTAATACTAATTTAAACCTATTGATAATCTATGTAATATTTTATTTTTTGAATATTTGTTGTTATATTGAATAAAGATCTCTATACTATTGTTACTGGATATAAAGTAATAGTTTATTCTACATTGTATTCAGATCAATACAGGGTTATCATTACATTATGTATAAATAAAAATTTTCTAATTATTATGAGTATTTACATACACGTGTTGGAATGAAATGTAAGTTGCATAAATACCATCCTAGATCTACTCACTGGTTATTTTTTTACTACTGTGTAGTAATCAGTAGCGAATTATGGGAAAAGATCACCGAAGTGTTCAGAACTCGGTGGCTTTTCAGACAACCTTTTGAATTGAATTGTTGTGCGATCCATTTCGCTTTTCTTCTAACATTTGTTGTTGTTTCTTTGTCCATCTTGATTGTAGGTGCATGGTTTTTATGTGAAAGAACTCTTTGATCTTATCTTCAACGTCAGTACTTTCATTATTTTGGAAGAATTTTTGTATCGAGTTGATTATGTCCCTGAAGTCACAGTATTTGACATCATCGTTCACGAACGGTCGTGGAAATGGATTTTCTAAAATTTTAAAATTATATCTGCTTCCTATAGATAACGTTCCACTTTGTATCCCTACTTTAACCATGTTCTTCATTTTCCCTCTAACAATGAGTAAATCAGAAGCACTTACTTTCCTCCCAATCTACAAACACAAGGTCATCAACACAACAATTGATGTACTCGATCAAGTTTCCCCACGATGAGCTTGCTCTAGCCCAGCCCTTATAAACATCTTTCGTCTCGGGTATTTTGGTAGGGTAATATTTGTCCAGAATTAGTGGTTCCCATGATAGTGTTCGTTTTTTGTACACAATAAACTAAAACATATTTTTAGACGTATAACTTACACCATCTTTTAGTACTTCGAAACATAATATATTAAAGCAATGTAAAGACAATATGTTGTTACAAAAACGTGTTGTACTATGAAGGACTTACCTCGGCTGTCGTTGGTGTGTACAATGCGTAGTTTGACACAAGTTGCCACTTGCCGCCACCGTGGTGCTCAAATATAAGGTTTTTGTTTTTGATGTCGTAAATTTTGATAAGGTCAGGGCCTGAAACATTACATTTCTAATATTGTAAAGCTTAAATTTAAAGGTAAAACTGAGTTTTTATAAATAACGGCGTTAAAATTGTAAGCAACAAAGGATTAAAAACTTACTTAATAACAACACAAAGTTTAACTTGTCAATAATGTATAAATTTTGCGTAGTTTCAACCTTGCATATAACGTTCTGTTCCGTTGTATTGTTATCCAGCAGTATTAAGTTGTTGTCATTGCTCACAACTCCAAAATACCGTCGGATATCACATTCACTGACGTTGTATACTTTCTTTTGTTTGACGTGCACGTCTAGTTTAAATGTTTTCTTCGTACATAAATCCGTGACAATATTATCCTTGATTAACAACAAGTTGGTGTCTCTAGTGTCACCATCGATCTTTTCAATTTTTCCTGTAGCAAAGTCGTACAGTAGAAAGGCATTGGTTGCTACCACTATCATTGTTTTGCCTCGATTGACCAGTCGCACGCTCAAAAGGCGGCCAGAATTAGTACCAAAGTTGATTACTTTTAGTTTTACATCTGTCAAGTCGATGTTAGAGATGGCTACAATCGTGTCGTTAACGATCCAAGCAATCCGGCCGGTAAATAGACAACATTTCTCTGTTTCGTAGTAGCTCTTGTAATGGTCAAGGCATCGTTTTGTACTACTAAAAAAGGTTTGGTGTAAATTAATATTATAAAAATAGTTAATTTTAAATAATTAAATTTGAAATCGGCCGGTCAAGAATTTTTGAAAACTAAAAGTAAAAAAACTAACAATTGAAAAGCTTCTGCCCAAGTTTCATTTTTGACACGATAAACCATGTTTTGGTAGCATAGTTTTTTGAAATTGTAGTTTACAATTTTGTAAAATTGTTTGTTTACTCTGGCAAAAGAGCAAACGTCGTCCATATACGGCACGTTGTCGATGATGTGCATTAAGACCTAAAAATACACTTTTAAGCATGGTTCACTAAACATATCGTACTTTTTGTTGTTGTATACTGTATCAGCGTTTGGAAATTAATATTTACTCAATTTTAAAAATAATCGTTGTCAGTTTGACTTTTACTTACCAAGTTTGGGAATTGGTTTTGAAACATTTCAAAATTATTGTAGTTTATAGATACAAAGAAAGCAACGTAACAAATAAAGCAACAACGCCTAGACGTATGCCGTTTAAGAAAAGAAGCAAACGCGGTGGGTCCCTAGCAATGTAACAGTCTAAGAAACGCAAACGCAGAGGAAAACACCGATTGATTAAGATGGTAAAGCATTAATGTTATGCAACCTTTTATGGCAATTCCAAGACATATTTTACGTTATAATATGACTGCAGAAGCGCACGGGTCAAAATCGTCTTTTTACTAGAGACATATGTTGACTTTTTAAACCGGCAAAAAAATCTAAGAAATATGGTGATAAGATTAGCTATTAACTCTTTATGGAGTTACTATATCTAAGAGACATTTACAATATGTCAAGTTTTAAGCGTTTTTGAACTACTATCGCTTGAGTTATCATTAACATTTTGCAACAGTGTAAAATGTAATTCTTGGTGCCTTTTCATCAGAATTTATCACTATATTTTTATAATTGTTGTTGATGAAAACGGTTTATGCCACTAAAAGTCTATTTCTACTCGTACGGTTCTCTCGTATGAGTAGAAACTACAGTTATTACCTTGACGATTTGATTATACAAGAACGTACTTTTTTGATTTTTAAAATTTTTAAATGAATTTTTGGCTTTTTTAAACGTTTTAATGATTGTTTTTATAAGTACATTTATTTATATATTAACCGTATGTTTAAGTAAAGTACAACAACTTAATTCTACTGTAAGTTATTTTCAAAAAATTTCACAATGAGCTACAGTATGCATGTTTACGTGATTGGCAATATCACAGGTGTAATTTTCAAAGATCCGTGGGGTGGGCCATGTCACGGTCTTTACATGTACGTAACATCCGGACCGTACAATAGGGCTTCATGAAATTGTTTACCGAAAAAGATTAAAAATTAGGACGCCATGTTGTATCTGGAAATAGAACTTCATCTCGAACCTTCGTAACCAACACTAATCCGTTGAAGATGCAAAAATGCTGATTTTTGAGTTCTTACCAAGTTTATGTAAATATTTCCGAGTGGGTGACGTACTAAGGAGATGGAGAAAATACTGTAGTATCTTGTGCCTATTGGGGGCTTAAGTCTATAAGAGAAGTAAAAAAAATGACCTTGCTATACAATAACGAATCTAGTACGTTATCTATGTTACCTTAGTTGTCCAACCAGTGACACCCACCCACACTACCAATACGAAAAACAAATAATATCTTTGGCCAAATTTTGATGGCCAACTTTAGCTTTTTTATTGGCCTTCGATGACTAAGCCTACTGTAATCACGGGTGCTAATGTCTTAACTGATTAAGCTGTAATTACCAGTTTGTGGAGATAATCGTTTTTAAATTTGCCTTTTTGAAACTTTGGCATTTTGAGTAACTTAATCTGAGGGCGTTTTTAACTAGAATGGAATTGTAAATGATGATTACATAGTAATTTAGCACTAGGTTTTATAAACAACGGGGATTAAGCGGGGCTAACTTATAAACGACTGGTAAATACTGATTTAACATTTTGTAACTAATAAGGAAGGTACCCGGCTCACAACATTCAGATATTTTCTTGTGCAAAATAATAGTTTAGAAATAGTTTTTCCCATACCGTATCATTTATACAGGCCAAAACGGTAGTCGGATACAAAGAAAGTGAGAGAGGTTAGGTATTTACAAAAGCAATAAGGTATAAGAAACAAGTAACGTATATTGTTATTAAGTTCTTATGCAAAATAATAGTTCGGGGTTTACTGCAAACGTTTCCTACGAAGTGCACGTAACGAGCTGAGCTTCGATGCGTTAAGAGTTATTACAAGCCATAAAATGTTTAAAAAGGAAATTGACCTTATTGTAATCAGTGGTCCCTCCAATTTATTGTTCTTGCTCAGTTTGTGTAGCCTTTTTGTGTTTCGCTAAAACTTGTTGGAGCAAATTTTGTTGTTGTGAGGAGCTCCACATAAATCAGTTTTGGTATTTCGCCTTAGGAAATATTTTTAAAAACTTGAGAAGTTCTATGTTTTGAAAAGTTTTTACTTCAAAACTACTATTGCCTTAAGAAACATAAGGTTTACTATGTTGTGAAGGACTATGTCATTTTTGAGATGGTCATGTGATGTGAATCGTCCATTTGTTTTAAATGTTAGTGTTGTACGGCATAAGGCAGTTTAAAGAAAGCTATGGCACGGTAAGTTTTCTATTTTTTATCAGTTTAAAGGCTGGACAAGAGGGTCATTTTATAAAAGTAAAGAAAGGTACAATACTCGGTATACTCTTATTGATTAAAGTGAAAAAAATTTTAACCCCTCTTTTAAAAAATGGCATTTTTAAGCCCTTAAAGTTTAAAAATGACGTTTGCATGTTCATTTTTTAAATAGTGTTGTATTTACAAATTTGATAAGTACGTACTCTAAGCTTAAAACAGAAATTTAAGCGTTATTTCAAAAGTCTTGCCAAATGTTATTGTAAGCTTATATTCTTGCGACAGGATTACTGTTTATTTTGACTTTTTGTAAGCAGTTACAAAAGTATTTCAACTCAAAGACGTCAATACTATCAATAAGCAGGTATGATTACAAAAGTAATACAAATTTTCAGTTTTTACTTTACTTTAAACTTTTTTAACTGTTTGTTAGAAAAATGTTTACAGCAAGGTTAAAAATAAAAATATTTTAAAATGATTACAGTAGGATTAATATTACAGTAAAAAACGTTGTTTTAAAGGAAAGTAGACTCAATGCTGAATTTTCTTTTTAAATATTTTACTACTTTGGCTTAAGTATGGTAAAGAATTAGATACGCTTTTAGTACTAAACAGATATGTATTGGTACTTCCATCGATATCGCTCTAAGCTGCTTTGTCGTTAAATTCAGATGCAGCAATGATCTTATACTAAAGTATACTGTAAGTAATCAAAGATTACCAAAACATCCCTGACTAATCTAAAGATGATTCAAAATTAAATTGTTTAATTATGACACTATCGGTATAGTACAATTTTGAGCTGCGTAAATTTTTACAATGCATTGTAAAACAAAATCACTATGAGATGTTTAATTTGATATGCATGTCAGATATCGTGGGTTTAAGTATTTTTACTTGATAGGAAGCCGTATAAGGCATTACAACAAGAAAGTAGAGTAGGATTTTGTATGGTAGGGTAGGTTACAGTCTTCTGCGTTTACTTCAAAAACAGCTATAATTTGATGATATATAACTTATAACATATCATAAATGACACATATTTCATACAAAATAGTTAGTACATAATCAGTGACAGTATAGTGATTACTGAATTTACAACTTTTGTTGAAAGGACAGTAGATAACTGTGGTATGTAGGTGACAAACAAGATCTCTGAACTTAATATCTCACTTAAATTGGATTTTCAAGTTTGTGTTTGTTCTAAAGGATTATGATTGACGTACTATTAATAACAGCATTCTAAGCCATATCAAATTGTTTTAATAGTGTTAGCTATTGATTACTTTATGTATATGTTTCAGTTAGCTACATTATTATTGTGAACCTCTTACATAACGATTTTTAACATACGGTTGATTTTTTAGGTTGGGGATTCTGTCGGTAGGTAGTACAAGATGTTTTTATGCAAAGTTCCTTGTAATAAGCTCTTACTGTAACGTTCCCTTCAGAAAAACTAATATAGATAAGTGTGGTTTAAGCTTGACATTTTGTTATACATAACCGTTTTATAAATGTGTACAGACGATTGTAAAACACAGTCACTTTATAGTTTTTACGGTCAGCGATGATCGATTGTTTTGAACAGCATTTTGTTGTCAAAACCCTAAAATTCGACAAGTGATTCTGGTTATACCATTATACTAATTGATAGTGGTTTTGAACCTTGAGTTTTTGAGGTTTTATGAAATAAGGAAGTTGGGGGTACTGTACGTTCAAGCAATTGTGGGTACTGCAAGTTAACAGAAGTTGATAGTATTGTGTTTTATGAGGCATATCTTTTTTACTGTGAAATTTTGTACCTTTTTTTGGAAGTATTATAGTTGTAATTAATTATATGGGCTAAGGTAGACTAGACTAGATCAGATGGCCCTACCTGGCCTAGCGTGTCCTTAACTCAAGCCGAAACAAATTTAACAAGAGCCCGGCCGGCATATTTGGGCCCAAGGACCGGGCGAAAATTGGCTCGTGCCCAACTTTCTTGCAGGTCCAGGCTAAGCTAAACTGATAATATTGAAAAAATGTTAGTATAGCTAAACATTTTATCTAAACTGTTAAAGATACTATAAAAAGAAGTCTGATAAGCTAAATAAACAAAATTCTTTTATAGATACGTTAACAATTTTTATGACGTTAGGACAAAATTCATACGAGCTTATTGTCTTTAATGGCAGTGACTGCTAAACGTTAATACGGTAGTCTTCCTATAAAATTCTTTCTGTAGAAGCAATGGAAGGAGATGCTTTATTATAAGATATAAGGCTAAGGAGATATGAAAATATTGTAAAAAAATTTTCAAAAAAATCTAATTATACAAAAATCAAAGATAACATATTAACATAACACACAATACCATTACATTACAGTAAATTTACACTGATTTCTGCAATCAATGGTCTAAAAGCTTCTAAAATAAGATTTTGCAAGTGAGCTCTGATCTACTGTTTTCATGTTTCTATTGTAAAATTTAAAGACATTAAGGCAGCGTCACGACCTCGCCTTTTGTTTTCTTTGTAATATATTGGGCAAGATGTGGCGAAAAAGTTATCATGTTTACACAAACATCGGCTTATCACGTTGGTGAACATTAATTGTTGGAAAAACAACAAAATTTAATGATATGGCTGAGAATTTCGTATTTTATTGAAATTTAATATTATTAAGCATATATTTTGAATTTTAAAATTTTAATGTTTGAAGTTTGTAGATGATTATTGTTTTTTATGAGGTGGGGTAGAATAGGTGAGAGTTGATAAAAGTAGGTAAGGGTAGGTGACGGTAGCTGAGA